AGGTTCCGTAGTTCACCTTTTGGTTAAGGAACCTTACATTACAACTAGTGAAGACACACCACTCAATAAGTGGTATGTCATGTTTTTAATGTGGAGAATGAACATTTACGTTTCGAAGCAATAACAGTAGTGCTCTGTACGAAAAGAGTATGCGGTCATCGCTTACGTTTATATGCTTACATGAACACGTGTCAAGGCCATACATACAATACTACATGTTCTAGTTTTTAGAAGTGAACTGTTATTTTTTAAATATGATCAAATATAATATAATTATCATTTTTAAGGTTCCTACTCAAAAAGTAAAAACAGGAACCTATTACGAAAGACTCCATTGTCCGTGATGGCTAGACAGTTTATATTTTAACAGATGTATTTCTGTTGCCGCTATAACAATAAATAGAAAAAAAATCAATATAAAACAAATATTTAAAAGGGGGCTCCTATGTAACAAACGGTGATTTGTATTGCCGTTTATTGCTCTATATTTATAATGGCAACAGGTAGACGATTGAAATATTCACAGAATATTTACTTGTATATTAACTTTGAAAACAAATAGTTAAATTAAAATAAAATATTTATTCAAGGCTGTTCCGATACCACAGATGTAATTACGGAACCCTTCGTGCGCGAGACTTTTTTTTTCAAATTATCCTCATCCTAAGAAATGCTTTTTTAATAAAACAAAATTGTAAAATCAGTTAACTTCTAAATCGTATTCAAGTACGCTGAGGTGGAGACAATGTGCTTACATATATTTTTTATTTTTTAAGCATGTAACTACTAGATGTTTCAATCTAAACAAAATTTTAACTGTTTATTGCTACTTTATAAGTTATTATCATCCAAAACATCAAACCACACACAACTTAGCCTTTATGTATTCTACTTTCCATAAAGAATATTTATAGATAATAATGTATTATGTTTATTTTACACTTGTCCGATATGGTAATACGAAGTATTATGGAATATGTATGTATATTCTTCAAATCAGCCTTCATTATAAAACTGTTTATGTTTGAACTGCGTAGAATCCTTGAAAGAAGGTTAGGCAAAAATCCGCTTTTGAAGGTAGGTAGGTACTTGTAGGGCCATCTGTAAGTCAAATTTGAAATAGCAATTATGTCATCATTTAGGAATAATTCACCTTGAATATGTTTTATGATAAATATGAATATAGATACCTAAAATACATGTTCGATTTGATCATCATTAGGTAAAGTTAAAAACAATAATCTAAAAAGTAACTTTTAATTATTTACATTGAAACTACATATAAACTTACGATTAACATCTAGTTGACACTTTTTTCTACTTCAAATGCATGCACAAGGACAGATAGTATGGCACTTTGGCAACACAGTAATATAATAAACGATTAATGTTTATACACTAAACATTTTCATATTAAAACACCATAAATTTAATTAAAAGCCAAAGGTGGAAAGATGCGCATGTATCGGGTATATACACACGTGACGCGAATAATAGTGTTGATCAGTAATATATATCTCATATTTCTGTATGCAAATAAGTAGGTACCTGTACATACTTCATTACGATACAATGGCCTACATTGTGCACGTGTTGTTGATATAATGTGTGGAACATTATGTTATGTATATTTACATGCGAGACGGTTGCAGGCCATGCCGGCGCACAACGCTTTAGCGGTGCTAAACATTTACACCCATTGAGCATCCCCAGCCGCTGCCATTAATTCTGATTGCACCTCTTAATTCGACTTTAACGGACCTCCTAGGCTCCCACTTTTACTCCACAGCAATTTCTTACATTGCTTCTGCTTTTCCCTTATTAGATAAATTGCCTGGCTCGTTTTGACCTCATAACGCGGTCTGTAATCTTTGTTACACTTAGGTATAATCTCAACAGCGATAAGTTTTAGATGAATTTCGTAAGTATCTCCTCTGTTCCAATTTCACCTGTCCGTTACAATTGTAATGGAGGTAGGTAGGAAGACCACTACAGTTGGTTTAAAACAGCGTTTTAAGATAAAATAAGACTACCATTTTAGTCACGATGCCCAGTGTAAACTATCACGACTCCGAGCTACAATAGTAACGTTATTATTCTATTAAGGTTACCAGGGGGTGAAAGTATCGCATCTGATTGCCCATTGTACACACAGGACAAACCGGCGCCGTCCTGGAACATGATTTCACAGCAGCCCATTCATCCGTCTTGACAAGTTGATTGTCGTGCGAAAGCACCAAGCAGCCACACGATCATTTGTTATTCAATACACCACTGTTTGCCTTGTTGATAAGCGAAGAGAAACCCTGTTGCATTTATAATAGCAACGCATCATTAATTAATGTCGTCAAGTCGATTATTTATTACTTATCTGAGTTCCGTCCAACGGAGCTTTGGCCTAACCGCAAAGCTTCATACAATTTCTAAATTCGAAGCAAATAGATTGTGAAATAATCTATTACTAAAGTTACATGTTCGAGAAAGTCTAAAGGTGTCTTTTATTTTACGAATGTTACTCTATCACGTTAGGTCGTGACAAAGTCGTTTCGCATTCGTGATAGTTCGGCGTAACACTGTTGACCTTGTTAATGTTATGTGCATTACTGCATGCTAGCATCAGAGTTTTCATGCATGTATGTGCTCGATGGGTCAGTTGTTGTAGTCGGCACTTTACGCCCACGCCTGCCGCCCGTTAGATGAGGACGGAACCTTGCATAATTCGCTATACAACTCGAGATGTTTGGTCTCTATTAAAATTGTAGCCATTGCCGCGTTTAATTGCGCGCTACTTGAGGGACTGCGTAGTCCAAATAGGCTTAATTTTCTCATGGGAATACGTGCATGCACCAATTACAGTAATCCTGCATTTCCTTCTTATTAATTACGGGAAAATAAAACCGCTTTCTAAATTTACGTTGCAATATCAATGTTTTCACACCTGCTTTACGTACGTGTCAACTCAATATCAAGTAACACTACTACAAGGTTACACCAACCTATGTAGTTTGCGACCTTAGACTTGGTTAGCGATGACGTACGGTTGTTGCGCAAATGATCAATGTTCCGAAACAATGCGCTGCTAACGACCATCAATCACATACTATAACTAATTAAGTAGGTATGTAGTTTTACATAATGTAACACTTAAAAAAGTAATTCTAAAGTATGTATATATATACCTTTAAAATATCTGAAATTATACAACTGGTAGGTATTTATACTCTGATCTTGCATTCTGCTTTCAAATATTTTGGTTTCTAGTCCCAGTTAGGCCCTTGTTTGTGTGATAAGCCCATTGTTATTTGTGTTATGGGTACTAACCATGAATAATATTTCTGTGTATTTTTAAAACTAATACTTATGCAGAGTTTTGGAAACTTAACATTGTCATATTCAAGTAAGTACCTATAATTTTCGTTAATTATAATACTGCATTTTCAACATTAACTGCTTAGATCATTTTATGATTATTCTTCAATATAAATGTTATATGAATTATCAAATAATCTGAACTGGTTATCTCTTGAGATAGAGATAATGTACAGTTTTCAATGTTGAATTTTTGCTATAGATAATGAACCAAAACGATAGTATTGTTGGTATTTTTTCATATTATGACAGTAATATATAAGGTACATTTTAAATGAGTTTATTGTGCTCATGCTCAGTATGCACGCTCGGTATGCAAATTAGTTGAGGTTGATAGAACGCCATTAAAACTAAGCCATTTTACTTTTATGACTGCTAAATATTTGAAAATTGCATTTCACGGCACTAAACTGAAATACCTTTTTTATATCGTCATTTTTTAGTTACACACGGGAAGGCGACATGATCATTCGCAATGTAATGTAAAAGCATTTGCTTATAAAATGTGATGCGAAGAACTTCTCGTCATTTTACCTCGCTTTTATTAACCTCTATCACTAGTACTACTGCAAACCTGAAACTTTGATATTAGATAGTAATATAAGCGGTTTTATCATTAAATCAGGCCTTTATTTGCTATACTTAAATAATATGAATCTCAATGGATTATTATCATTAACATTTATAATTCTTTTGAAATACTTATCTCACAAGCTTGCTCATATATCATTATACATAAAAATTATAATATTTCTGTATGCTTTGTTTAGCAATGAAGATATCACAACTCTTGTGGTTAAAAATATGACTATTACCACCGAAGAAGCGAAGTAAATGTTAGTAATTATATCTTAATAATGGTGTAGTTAGTGTTATAAATCAAGAGAATAATGATATTATGATAAATTGTCTAAAAAACGATTTAGTTGTATATATTATAAACAAACTGTACCCGACTGCATCTGCAATCGTTAGCACCCATCGATTCACAGTGACTGAACTTACGTGCTGGGTTATAGCCCGGTTATTCTGTATGATTCTGTCTATGTATAGTGCGATTCAAATAAGAATAGGAAACCCAACGACCTCCATCTGTCAAATGTCGCTTGAAAAGTACGTTTTGCAAAAAAAAAAACTTGAAGCCTTTTTTTAGCACTCGGCTAATTCTAGAATAAAAACCTAACATTTGTAAACAAGCATTAACTACTCCGCCGGTAATGCAGAGATGAGCGGAATTGAAGTGCTAGATTCTGATTAATGTTTTTTCTCACACAGTCTTAATAAATACATGTTATTAAAAATTGCTTGCTTTTCTTCTCAATCTTAGTAAATAAAATTTATTAAAAAAATCTGTTATTTTTATCACTTAATCCTTAGTAAATAAGTTTTATTAAAAAAAAACACTTTTTGCTCACTCTACCTATTTGGTTTGAATTGACAGCTATGACGTCAGAATATGGCGCCCAGTCCGTCCTATTTTTAGTTGAATCGCATTATATAGAAAATGGCCTTTAAAAAGCTGATCATGATGTTAATTTGTATATTTATATTCTTCCCAGCTTATGTTTGGTATTAGAAAACAACTAATAAGACTGCATTTCATAATAAAAATCTTTATTATCATTTTACAGGTGAATCCGTGTCGGATCGGGCTGACAGCGAAGCGCGGGTAGTGAACGATCAGCGATGCATCGAAGTGCGCATTGCGCGGGCGGCCGGCGGTTTAGGTTTGAGCATAGCGGGAGGACGCGGCTCCACACCGTACATCGGCGATGACGATGGCATTTTCATATCGCGAGTCACGCCTGGCGGTCCGGCGTATAATGCGGGACTTAGGGTAAGTAACAATTTACGAAACATGCTGCGGTACAGTAGGTACTCCTAGAAGTATTAGATTCAGTTCACTTGATCCATTGAAAAAAAGAATGATTTAAACCGTAGATAAGGACAAGGAGACTTAAACCGTACACAATTACCTGGCATTTGCTTTATTATAAAAACTATACGATGCTAAGTCCATTCTAAACGAATATTAAATTATTCCTGCTTTAGTCGTTGCGATAAATCCACTAAAAGTGGAACGAATGTAAAAGTTTCTTTATGCGAGTGACCTGCAAATCCATAAGTAGTATAAACTTATTGGGTTGGTTCTGGAATAAAATTTGTTATATACACTTCGTTATTAGACCAATCCACGCAAGCTTACGGAGCAAGAACCGTACATGTGTCAAGAAAGTGTCAATCAAAACCATCTGTTCAGCTTTCTGTTTATCAGTCGCATCGCTAGCTGTCTCAATTTTTTTTTATTGTCTGTATAAAATCATTTTCTCGTTGTAGAATCATACCTAATGCTGTCTTGTTAGCTATGGTGTGTTTTACCGGCGTTCACCTCTGAGAAACCTCCAATGAGGATCCATAACGATTTTAGTTGAGTATGCAGATTTATAGAACTAAGGATTCCAAAAATTACAGTTTTTTAACTTTTTGTTCTACTACAAATATTGACGAAGTTATGACCAAATTACTAAACGAATTTTCGGCTTGCTGCGTGGTAACTGACGTCATACAGCTCTAGCGCTCGTGCGCGAGCATGCGTAGAGACAATACTAAATTTCGACCAGAGTGAACCACGATCGAGCTCTGTGACGTCACTTGTTTCGGCTGCCGGTGAATATTGACAACCATAAAATTAGTTATAAAATCGCACCGAATGAACCTAATATATATATCCTTTTATCATTTAAAAAAAATAAAATAAAAAGCTTATTAGATCATTAAGCAAACCAGTGAACCGAATGTTCACCAAAACCTGATTTCTCGAAAACCGGAAGTGCTACGTTACTCAAATCCGGTTTGTAGTCTTATCAGACTATTCTTAACTTATAACTTAAACATTCTCTTTATCTATCTCTTACGGTTTGGCCGCTGAAACAGCACCACAGACAAACGGACGGACGGACTTGTCTAATAGATAAGAGATACGGTTCATTTTGAGCTGATTTGCTGACCTAGTAATGATCCTCATTGAAATTAAACATTCGAAAGCAGAAACTATTTTAAAATCGCTGATTTTTTTCTATTTCGCAAGAGGAATTACGTCATTTATGAATACTTATACAAAATTTCCTGCTTAGAGAGAAGATGTATATAATATTAGCTAGCTCACTAAGTACTATGTTTTCCTTTAATTTAATGTGTTAAGTATGCAATGATCGGTTAATCTCTATTAAATGTTACCTTCGAGAAAATATTCACAAAGAGTTGTACAACCTCCATCCTAAAAGTGAAAAAAAAACGAAATCAAACTTTCGTAGTTCTAATAGTTTAAAAATAAGTGGACTATATTTATTCAAGATTTCTGAATTACAAAAACATTACATAATTATGAATATTTTTTTATTAAGATGACGGTTGTTCCATCTCTATATCGATATACACCCCGGCAAACTTTTTGAGCATCGACTATAGACAAGGAAGCCTGTCTACTGCGCAAGTTTATTTGTCTGTGGTTTTGCTCAAGAAGTTTGCCGCTACCTATAGCTATTCGTAATTAGCGTTTGATTATCGGATCATTGAAAACGTGATGATTGTTAACAGGTGGGCGATAAGGTGCTCTCCGTGAACGGGACATCCGTCGTGGAAGTCGATCACTATTACGCAGTTGAGGTTCTGAAAGCTAGTGGTCCTACGCTTACATTGGTTGTTACAAGGGACTCTCCTAATTCTACCAGGTTACTATAACTATTTGAGTTCGCATTTTTTCTTCTTCTAATATTATAGCAAATAGCGACGTTGCTAACATGTACTTCTTTGCCGAGCTCTATAAAAAACTTCGTCAGAGGGCAGACGGATATGTTTGCCAATAACATTTTACCCGCAATCATTTCAGTTACTCCGTCATGGCATTTGCAATAGTACCAAAAATCGGAGTTTCGCTAAAAGAAGACGGTATGTACATAGTAACAAACCCGCTATATACTATAATGTTAGTGACCATGAAATTTTGCAACTATAAATCTATGACTTGTATTTTTTTCGTATTCTTACTGTTTGTCTTTTCTTTTTCAGAACTCATAGCAGAGCACCGAGTGGAGCGAGTCACCATTCCGTATCAAGTACAACTGACACAGTATCTACTTTAGAAAATGGACAGGTATTAGACACTTAATAACATAGTCGTTAAGCGGATTGCAGACGATGGACCTTTAAGTAATTACTTATGCGGACGCTTTCTTTTTAATTATAATTAGCATGTCTGTATATGTCTTTCGTTGGCATTTCTGGGATTCCGAATTGAACTCTTGGGTGGGCCTTTTATGGTAAAATCATAAATATTTCCTCACACCAATTAGCCTAGCCCCAAAGTAAGCACTGTAAGGCTTGTGTTATGGGAAACTAGGTAACGGATAGAATACATATGCATTACATATATTTATATAGAAAAACATATTAAACATAATGCTCGTATTACACAAATATCTGCCCCCACCGGGATTCGAACCTGGGACCTCCCGAGTCGGCGACACCATGAAACCCGGCATACAAACCACTCGGCCACGGAGTTCGTCACTATTTCCCCTCTTTATACCTTAAGTATCAATCTAAATTCAATTCCGTCATCTTTGATCTGGTCTTTTCCTATTGATTTTCGCCTTTGGTCTATTCTCTCAACCATCTTCGAAAGAAGATTTTTTTGCAGTCTTTCTTAACTGGTTATACAATAAGTTTATTTTTATAATTGGTTTAGACAAACAACTAAGCAATTTTGAAAAAAGAAACAAATCCTTCGTAGATGAATAAGAAAATGGATCAAAGGGATTTTCGTAACCCTCTTATCCAATAAAAATAAAACTTTATTTCATGAACATTTACAACAGTTATAGTGAAAAAATACCTACTTACTATCTTCTCCCAACAGATACCCACAGGTCGCGGTATTCCAATGAAGCCGTTAATCATCAGCAACCAATACGCGCAAGAGTTCGAGCCTGAATTCAAGGAGCAACAGAAGCTCAGGAACAACCAGAGCACGCCAACGCCCATCGCTAATTACAGCCCTTCGCCCACCGGACAGCCAGTAGACTACCAGCGGCTGCAGGCATCTCCGCCACCCGTCACTGCGCCTTACGTTCCGCCAGGTATCTCATCGTCCATACAAAGTAATCGACGTTCTTGGGCAATTTTATAAACTTTTTGAAGTGCAACTTATTTTTGGACGGGGTGTAAATGGCAAAATCCTATATATATATGTGTGTGTTTGTGCGTGCGTGCGTGCGTACGTGCGTACGTGAATGCGTGTGTGTGTGGGATGCGTGCGCAGCTCCATTCTCCTATGCCTTTGTTTAATGTTAGGTTATTTAAGAAAAGAAGTTTCACTTCAGATGTGTGGTCCGTGCACATTAATTATTTTTGTTTAATTTTTTTAATACTTGTACGAGGTTTTCTTAAAAAAAAAACGTAGTTTTAACGGGTTAATGCACGAAACTTTATTTATTTATTGGCGTGTCAGGGCTGCGAAACGTCAATAAATAAATAAAGTTTCATGCACTAACCCGTTAAAACTAGTTTTATTTATCGAGTTCTAGAAATTATTTTTATGTTATTTTTGCTAAAACAAATGTTCGTTCGTTTTATCTTTTTCGACCTCAACAAGCGCTGTATTTCAAATGTCAAACTTCGTGGGATTGTATGGGGATCGTGTTCGAGAAGAACTGACACTTAGCCTCTTTATTTCAGTATTTTCTTTTCTGTGGTATCTTATAAGACTTCATTTGTCAGATGCTCATAATGGGAGGGCTTAGTGAAAACAGATTATCGACTTCAGTTATAATCCTATTACACTTGAAATTCCATATAGTACTATAATCCACTTATATTTGGTGTAGCAACTTCTAATAAAAAAAAACTTAAAGTAGTTGTAGGTACTCTATGATAATTAAAAAAAAAGTATTTGTGCTAGGTTGACTTCACCTCGTGATTTTTCGTCATTTTTCCTCCACCTAGACTTAGTCTTTTACAGTGGTACTTCATACTTCATGAGTTCTACCCACACTTGGCCGGTATTTTGATAAAATATGCGTTATCTACACTCGCGACTTCGTCTGCGTGGAAAAGTTGGTTTCCTATAGAAACTCCCACCCTCCTTTTCACCTCTGTATGAAATGATTTTTGGGATCAAAACTATCCCATGTCCTTTACCGGAACTCAAACTATCTCTGTACCATATTGTATCTAAATTGGTTTAGTGGTTTAAGCGTGAAAAGGTTACGGACACGGAGACAAACTTTCGCATTAATAATATTAGTATGGAATTATGGATGTATTATGGTATTCATAACGGAATCATGCCCATCGTGTGTGAGTTCGACCCACAGTTATAGCGGTGGCGTAGTGAAACGTGCGTGTATGACAATATTATTTTTTTGAAATTCATAATATGCCTCTAGCAGTGAAAATTGTGGCTGTCTGATGAGTTAAGCCCTTGGCGCGGAAGGGATTTAAAAAGCAAATTAGTGTTATTATGTTTAGTACAACATAACACACGTTTGGGTCTTATAATAGTTTTTTAAAATTATGATATTAGATGTTTTAATGTTGGCAATAAGCTAACAATTTGACCATCTTTTATAGAGGTTTTAAAGCATATGTGTAGATAAAATTTATTACGAAACCATTAATTGACCTCAAAATCCGCATTGTTACAGTATATCAACAAAAAGTCCTCGTCCACACGACATTAATCCGCGACGGAGCCGGCCTAGGGTTTAGTATAGCCGGCGGTAAAGGTTCACCTGCATATAGAGATGACAGCGACGCGATATACATTTCGCGGATATCGCCACAGGGTGCGGCCGCAAAGGACGGTAAAATGCTGGTTGGCGATAAGGTAGTTTCGGTAAGTGTAAAATCCTTATCAAATTATAATAATATATTTATGTCACAAGCCACTTTTACAAGAATCGTACAATACAATATACAGCATAGCTTCGAATATAGAATAAACAACTTTGTGCCTGTACTAGGTTATAAAACTACCTGTATCATAGACACAGCGTTCCTATTGATTTTTGATTATGACATTTGTTTGATTTTGTTTAATATCAGATATATGACCTTATAGCTGTAAGTATAATATATTTTGATTGAGGCTTAACCAATTTGACGTTTATATAGACCATGCACGCTGTTCATAAATCATGGCAATATATATATATATATATTTGTTTCTTTTCTCGTTTATATGTAGAAATAAAATATATGCGTCGACTTAATGAGTTGAATTATTTTTTTTTATAATACGAAAGCTTTGAAGTATTGGAAACTGTGTCATGTCAGTGTGAAACGTCTTTTTTTCGTAGATCAACGGCGTAGATATGGAGAACGCGCGTCACGAAGCGGCCGTTGGTCTGTTGACGGGCCACGAGAGATTCGTGAGGCTCGTACTGCAACGGACCATCACTTCTGATCAAGGTACGAGTTTATATTTAAGACACAATAAATATGAAATTGAATAATATATAATCTAATATATAAAATTCTCGTGTCACAGTGTGCGTAATTAATCTACTCCGATCTATTTTTCATCCCCCTAAATGTTAAGGGTGGACCACCCTTAATTTATTTTTTTGGCAATTATTTTTGTTTTTATTTTTTTATGATAGATCATACAAAAATATATAAACCCTAAATTTTCACCGTTCTGCCACCAACCCCTATTTTTTATAAGGTTCGCTGGGACAGCTAGGTATGTATTAATCTGATATATGTATTATTTTATGCATATGTATATCAACATCAGTCAATTGATGTCCCCACTGCTGGGGCACAAGTCTTCACTATGGATGGAATAGAGAGATTGGACCATGACCCACCACGCGGGCCCAGTGCGGATTGGTGGGTGCTAATGACTGCAGATGCAGCGGGGACCAACGGCTTAATGCCTTCCGAAGCACAGAGGAACTCGAGATAGGGAATTTTTGGTCACCCATCCAATAACCGATCACTGCTAAAGTTGCTCAACTTCAACGATCGCAGCTGGACGTGCTAACCAGTAGCGTCATTGAGCTCCTTCTATGTGTATGTGATTATTAAATTATGAAACACACGCATCACAGAAAGTTAAGTGCGCTGGATTTGGTGTGTACTGTTTTGTCTCTGGTGTATTGAGTTTAATATCCGATAAGAAAAAAAACTTGGTAAACTTGAAAGACTTGGTAGCATGCCAAGTGTTTGCTGTTCCTTGGAAATACAGTAATGCATTTGATATTATCTCATCATTAACAGTCTATTAGTGTCTCCACTGCTGGGATGCATACTTTATGTATTAGATAGAATGGGCCATGCCTCACCACGCAGGTCCTGTGTGGATTGGTGGGTACTACGACTACAAATACAGTGTGGAGATAAATATTAGTCACCCATCCAACATCACCACTGAACGCGTTGGTCAGTGCGCCACTGTTTTTTTATGTTAAAAGAATAACAAACGAAGCCAAAGATATCACTGGCACCGTTGCCTACCTTGTAACCCAATCCCCTACCCCGTGAAATACAGCACCACTGAAATGTGTTATTTTACTGTGGAGGTTACTAGACAGGTGCTCCAATTCGAGCGGGAAATCATCTATGCTCTACCTCTCTTAGCCGAGATTTATTTTATGAATTTTATTAAGATATGTTTTTGTTTTCTCCTACAGCCGAGACGCGGAAATCTATATCGGACGAAGTGAGAGACCACAAGACCAGCCTGACGAATGTGAACATTGCACCGTCACCGAAACCGGCAAACCACGTTAACAATAACAACCAAGCACCACCACCACTGATCGGCAATCACACTAACAATGCACCCAGGGTGGTGACTCACTTAACACAAACACCGCCACAGAGCCAGCCCCAAGTCACACATTTCTCACAGCAAGCCACACAGATATCGCCGCAAATCGTGAATTCGACGCCGCAAGTCGTGAATTCGACGCCGCAAGTTGTAAATTCCACGCCGCAAGTCGTTAATTCTATGCCGCAAGTCACCCAAATACCGCCGCAAGTCAATCAGTTACCGCAGCAAGTGCAACAAGTTTATACCCTGCCGTTGAAGCAAACAGCTTTCGCACCACAACCGGCACCTCGGAGACTGAGTCAACCCAATGGCCAGGTGAGGCTAGGCCGTGTCGTTTGGAATTTTTTCTACGGAAAAAATTTCTCATTTCCACTTTGTATAGCACTCATTTTAGTTCGGCATCACTTTATTAACGAAAATAACATGTCACAGCTTTTACACCACAACCAGTTAAACAAACTTTCTGAAGAAATGACAAATTCAATTTTAATTACACCTGTAATAAGAATATAACAAATTTATAGGTAATACTAAAAATAAAAAAAGCTAATGCTGGCATTTCACATGGCTATCTGCATTTGCATAATGCCGGTACTTCACATGGGTGTTTGTGTTTGCTATTAATAAATTTGATAACAGTCTCACTCCTTTTCAATTCTAGAGGGTAGGATGAGAACAAGGACAACAAGGCTGTCAAAATGACAAATAGCAAATATGAATAGCTGTTCCGGCATAGGAACTGGCTATTCGAATTTTCCTAAATTACATTTAACAAAATGGTGATGTTAATTTATTTTTTATTAAGTGGTGCTTGTAACACTATTTTGTTTTCATAGAACCGTCCTAGTTAATCTCCTCTATCAGAAAACAGCATATGATAGTGGTTTAAAAATAAAATATTTTTTAAGCCCAAAAGATAACCAAAAGGTAAATTAGTAACAACGCTATAAGGAACGAAATGCAGTTATTGCATTTAAATTTACCCATGCCATGTGATTTGTCATTAATTATACTTTTTATATAGTAACGGCCGTACTTTGAGTTCAAGTTAATTTTGCATAATTTAAAACAACTGTTTCTTTATTCCATTTTTATCACGAAATAAGTGACAAATTCAAAAGTTTATTGACGATTCTGAGTGCGTCTGTTACTTTGGACTAGTAATTTTAACAATTCTTTTCAAAATCTACATTTTTCAACGCATATTTACTTAATCTGCCTTCCGAACCGGCAAGATTATAGATGATTGCGACAGCTTCGTTACTCGAGGCACAACATTAATCGTACCACCGTTGACTCCAGGGCCCGAAGTCAACGACTAACAGTGCGAGCACGCCTCTAACACCAGGAGCCCCTAACACTCACGGTTCCACAGATGACGTCTTTGAAGACATTCAGGTAAGAATAAACAGGGTTAAAAAGACCTTCAATATAGCCGAAAACCACGTAATGTTCCCATCATCGGGAGCATTTTTGTCTTTAAGTCTATACCTGCGAAATCAATACTTATGAAGTTATTGAAGGACAAAGTAAAACATGTCATTTCAACAAATTGTCATTATTATTTCTTTACAAGTTTCTAATTGTCATGTATAGAAATGCTTGGGCTTCGGCTGTACCGAAGGTCTTTTTACATCGTGTATACCCAAAACAGGTGATGGTACTATCGATTTAACACGTTCACATTCGCGCTTCCAAGTTTCGCTTCCCACCATTATGGCGCTTCCACTATGTAGAAAGAAACTGCCCATTTTGAATCGAGTGGACTCGTGAGATGTCGAACCCTACGCGTCTTGAAATACCGAGCTCATATTTCGAGATTGCTAAGTGAGATATCAAGCGTTGCCACTCGATACCGCGAATACGCTTTCATATCTACGCTGGCTTTACATACAAAGCACTGTACATTTGTTTCCAGAGAACCTCAAGTCGAGTCCAGATTGTTTTTTTTTTAATATAATTTACATTCATTTGTTTTGTTAACCTGGGTTGGCTTCTGTTATTTCAAGTTGTAAACATTTTTAGTAGTATGTAATTTTAATAAACATAAAGAATTGGTCTTGCTTTTACAATTAATTGAAAATTACGATTGAAGGATGAAACTGAATCAAAATTCTCAGCAATTATCGTAGGTTGTAGGATTTTTTGTTTTCAGAAACTAAACGACTGTTTAGCTGGAAAATCAGACTTATCATTTATCTAACAACTGAGGAAATAATAAATAACGTATAAATAACCAAACAGCAAAGAAAACTATGTCCTCATTAGTCATCTGTGAAAGAACCCGGTATGTTATTTCAATCAGTTTTCTTTCGAAATTTAGTGAAGATCTGATGAGAACCTTTGGCGATAGACAATAGAACTCCATAATGTCAATACACATTATTTAGTTTACTTTCTGTATAAAATATAATGCTAACCCTTCACATAACTATTCCTATTTGGTATTTGTAAATTTGATCTACGTTTGATTTCCTATAGAGCACGATAAGGACAGTTCTGTATAATTTTACAAATAGGAAATCTGAATAGTCATGTGAAGTAAAAAAACTGGCCAAGTGTGAAGTGGACACGCCCACCGAGGGTTCCGTATTCATTTGTAGGTACGCAACATGAACAACGAGTTCTAGGAGTGCTTTCTTTGGCACACAATCGTATACGAAAGACAAGGATGAAAAATTGCGTCACACGAACAAGAGCTAAAGTATAGAAAGAGATTAAATTCAACTCATATAGTTAGCTTTTATTTACATATATGTGTACCAAAAAAAGGACAAATATAATAATGAGTATGAAAAATTCTATGAAAAGCCTGCGTGACGCTATCAAACGTTAAATTGGATACCTTTGTATGGCTAAGTACGTCATATCAGATATTTTGGTTAACTATACGATTCCGAATCGAAAAACGATCTAATTTCAAATGCAACCTGCCAACACGCCAGTTTTTGTTTGGGTAAGTACTTCGTTTGAAAATGTTTTCGTTAATCAATTATATAGGGAGTGTACACTTAAACATCATATCAATACTTCTATGCTTTAGTACTTGTTCTTAGGTTAACATACTCTATTTACAAAAAGCCACAAAAAAGTTTTTAAGGACAAATAATGAAAAAAAAAAAATATTTTGGGCTGTGTACTTTATTTATGTTCTACCAAAAGGACAAAATACTTTATTCGGCCTAAAAATGGTGGCAACCCTAATAAGCGATATCGAGAATGTGAAGGGATAGTTAAGACTATACACAAAACTACCCAAGAACCTATTGATGTTTCCGACACGGAATGGAGACTAAGCCAACATCCACGAGTCAACGCCATTAAAGACCTTAGATTAAAACAAAAAGGAAAGATACGGCACTCGCGGCTCAAAAGTAATCCGCTTAAATTGTGGTGCATGACCATAATTCGCTTTAGTCACAATAGGCTAGTTGACTCTGTCAATTGCACTATACAAATGTTTATTTCTTATAATGTTTGGTATGAGGAACCTAAATACATCATAGAAGATGGCTGTAGTAATTTAATTTGAAAAATGTTTTTTTAGTCTATGCTTTTACATCTTGTAGAAAAATTTCCGTTTATTGGTTTTGTTGACTAAATTTATGCTGGACGCCGGATTTGTGAAGCAGCACAATTAATCAGAGTCAATGAAAATATATTTTACAATTCCGGTTCTGTGTAGAGGTCCAAGTAGACGCGTAATTTTAAGAAAATGAGGTTCAATTTGTCAGTACCCAAGCAGGAAAAACTAGGTAGTAGCATAGATAAATGATTGGTCTCGCTTCACTCCACTAGATACCGCGCTATCAAGAAACAACAGCTCCGGTTATGGGGCAACTCATTATTGTAGTGTGTGTATGTCACTTTGCAAGGACGGTGTCATATGTCAAAAAAAATGTAGCCAGCTGCTCAACTGCTACCCCAGTAATAGGGAAAATATTTTATGCTGTTGTCGATCCACATTAACAATACCAATTACAAAATCCGTACATATTAAATGAATATATATCATTTTTAGTATATTCTTTTTTTGCAAATATACGTGATGCACGGAGGGGCCAATCCTATAATTTTATCACGCTTGCATAGTTAGTTTCTTTATTTTTATCCCACCTGTCAATAGTTTGGTTACAAATTCTTATAAGTGCCGCCGTAGTCTGACTGGTATGTACGCCAGTTTTGATGGTGTCGGCCTTCATAGGTCATAGGTCCCGGGAGCTAGGCTAATAGATGTGAGACTTTCGATATATATAAATATTTATTATACATTTAGTGATATCGATTCTGGCATGATTCTCTACAGCTAAACTTAAATTTGACAACAGTGCATCCTTGTCATTCTCTATACAGAATGAAAAGGAGAGACTGATGTTAAATTTGGTTTTAAGTTTAGAGAATCACGCTAGAATCGACCCCATTATCTTTATAACTCTTTAAAGTCACTGGTGTCGATTCTGGCTTGATTCTCTAAACCTTAACTTGATGACATCAGTGTATCCTTGTCATTCTCTATACAGAATGAAAAGGAGAGACTGATTTTAAATTAAGTTTTAAGTTTAGAGAATCATGTCAGAATCGACACCAGTGTTGAGTAAATTTATAATTATTATTAACCATGCAGACACTAGAAATTGAAATAAAACTATAATAACAATATATATAGTTAAAACTATTAAAATAAGCAGGTTAACAAAAGAATTAAGTTTATTATCAAAAAATAAAAATTACATGCCACTAACTTGAACAAGTTTACGATAAATTTGCCTTTTAAAATTCCCTGACTTTTGCAAATTTTCTTTCTTTGAAATGTAATGGAGTCGTATTTGTATAAACTTCTCCACTACTAGTCGAATTAAATTAATCTGATGTATGGCACCATTAACATGACTTGAGTCGAAATTAAAATATCTTTTACAACCCGCCCCGATAAATTTTTTCATGACATCAATTACAATTTTTTTATATATTAAATTTGATTTTATGTGCGACACTATCTATATTTTGTATTATAGATTCTGAAACCAAGCATATTAAAAATACATCTTCAGAGGCATATGATAATCCTCCATCTTTTAACATCACAAATTTATGAAACCAACAATGATTTTTAGCAGTTAAATTATCAATACAATGACAGCATTTCAATTTTTTTGTTAAGAACTTGACAACAAAACCGGCTACGTATCCAACAACGTGGTTTTTAAAATTCGACATGTATGGCACATCCAAAAATTCTGTGATCTCATCAAAATCATCCTTAACTTTTTCTAGTCCATTTAATAATACTGAATCTTCTTCTTCGAAACGTTCCCACATGAAAATTAAATTTATTGGAATTTTCTAGAAAAACTAAATAATTTGCAAAATAAAGAAGGCCTCCATTTAGCTAATAAAATAACGAAACGTCATTTAGAATTTCGCAATAATATAATGAAGGTAAAGTTTGCTTCAAATTATTAAGTTTCCTTTATTACCCGCACCATAAGCTATCCCTGAGGCCCAAGCACGAGTTTTTGACAGCTGCTTAACGCTAACGTATCGCATCGTCAAAGTTTCTATGGAAAAAACTAAGCAGCGCCAGTGACACCATGTATAAACTAGCTTTTTCCATACAAAATTTGACCATAACTATACTTTACGAAGCTGTCAAAAACTCGTACTTGGGCCTCTGTGCTCAATTTCATTCAATTAATTTCAACATTTTTTCCAAAATTGTGATGTTTTCTTAACTTCCCCGATTTATTTTCAAATATTTCGATTCACTAACACGAATAGTTTTTATTTCATAAAGAGGTCAAATGAAATGGGTCATATAACAGTATATTCATATTATAAAAATCTCAACCATAGGGACTTTTATATTGCGTACTTGGCAACACTAAATGACATTTATTTTTCATGAAATTTTACATCGAAATTTCGAAATTATAAGATACTCACTGATGGTATGTGATCCCAGTGTCCTTTTTATTTTTTGAACTATTATTCTTACAACGTTTCACAACACAAACTGACATTTTGCTGCGGATTGTGCTCTAAATTGATTAAAATATGCGGGACTAACACCTAAAGCGCAGCTGTCAATGTGACTGACACGGCGAAGGCTCGGGTCTGCCGATTTCGGCATAGTATTTGTTGCCCCATTAAACAAGTACGCCGGCGCGGTATCTAGTCGAGTGAAGCGAGACCAATCATTCATCTATGGCTAGTAGGTATTCTTATCGCCATCTTCAAAGTTTCAATAGAAGGAGCTACTTCTTTGGTTCGGTAGGGGCTCTGCCTAGTTTCCATAGAAATTTGACGACTATACAAATACTTTCTCCTCTATTCCAAACAGTTTCATGTAGCTAGTTCCACATGGAACTATTTTAAGCTTAAAAGTTTTCATTTGGCGGCAAGGAGTTTATATATCGACGTTTCTGTGTTTATGATGACACTATTTGATTCTTGTCTCACGATTGCTTACAGATTTTTTCTAGTAGCTATTTTTGTATGATCTTAATAATAAAACTTTAATTTACGACCATAGAATATTAATAGTAGGTGTCCTAACATTTTATGCAATCATAAATAAAAAAAATCTAGAAGCAGTTTCTTTATAATATACTAGCTGTCCTAGCGAACTTCGTACCGCCCTAAAAAAATAGGGGTTGGTGGTAGAAAGGTGAAAATTTAGGGTTGTATGTATTTTTGTATGATATATCATAAAAAAAATATATATCTAAAATTGAAAAAAAAAAATAGGGGTGGATTACCCTTAACATTTAGGGGGATGAAAAATAGATGTTGTCCGATTCTCAGACCTACCCAATATGCACACAAAATTTCATGAGAATCGGGAAAGCCGTTTCGGAGGAGTTTAACCACAAACACCGCGACACGAGAATTTTATATATTAGATTATTATGTAAGCATTAAGATGCCAGATTTTTATATCTAAAGAGATCACACTGGAGTTTTCATTATTCTTTATTGTATGCTATGGGGTGTCCAATAAGATACTATATATATATATATATATTACATTCCTTTTTTAGTATTTAAAGTATATTTTTTTTTAAGTGTAAGATTACTTTTTTGTTTTCCCTATAATCTCCCCTCTGGACACGACTTGAGCTCACCGTACCTACTCTTGTTTTGATACAAAAAATGTGAACGTGTTAAACGCGCAGCCGTCGCGGCCGATCACGAACGAGGAGTTCCAAGCGATGATACCGGCGCACTTCCTCGGCGGGCCGCGGCCGCAGTCTGAACCTGTGGAGAAGGGCGTACGAGTGACGGTAGAGCGGCCGGGAGCGGGCATCGTAATGCCACCGCCGCCTTCGGCCCTCGGCCGCGTCACCGAGACTATCACCAAGTCGACCTTCACCGAGACGACGGTCACGCGCATCACGGATAACCAACTCGTGGCACCGCTAATTATCGAAGTAAGCAATACACTAAGGAACCACCATCAGACTACTATCAGCAGTCCGAGCTTATGGAGAAGGTCGTGATAATTATAGTCAATCACCAAGTCGCCCTGCACTGCGACAACGGTCACGTGTATCACGGATAATCAACTCGTGACGCCGCTCATCATAGAAGTAAGCAATACACTAAGAAACCACCATCAGCCTACTATTAGCAGTCCGAGCCTGTAAAGAAGGACGTGATAATAATAGTCAATCACCAAGTTGCCTTTCACCGAGGCAAAGGTCACGCGTATCACGGATAACCAACTCGTGGCGCCGCTCATCAAGTAAGCAATATACTAAGATATCACTATTAGTAGTCCGATTTTGTGAAGAAGGGTGACAGTAGAGCGGCGGGAGCAGGCATCGGCATGCCAGCGTCGTTTTCGACCCTCGACCGTGTCATCCAGATTGTTCACAATTCACTATTCACCAAGTCAACTTGCACAACGGTATGGTGCTATTCAAAATTTATGGCGGTTGTGAAATTAGCAGCCAGCGTATATTTTAATTTTTCATCCTGCATTTCGTTTACTGCACTAACTAACTTCAGAGCTGCTGATAAGTTTTGATAGCACTCTGTCACGCCGCTCTTCGCCGAAGTAAACAATACAATAAAAATCACGATTATTAGATCACGAGAAGAATCACTATCACTAGCAGTTCCAGTCAGTAGAAAAGGACGTGACTGTATATTGGCCTAATACTGGCATCGCCATACTACCTCTACCATTAACACACCGTTGCGTCACCAAAAACACCATAAAGTTAATATTCATCATTAGTCAATGGTTATCATTGAAGTACACGTCAGCAATGCTTTAATGGAGACTCACGCCCACTTAGTTTTTCTCTATTCAATCAAGCTAAACCCAATAAACGCAATTATCTCTCTACATTTATAAATAAACGAGAGCTATTCAAGCGTTACTCTTTTTGTGTATTGAACCAAAGTTTTTGGTCGTGAATCTTCATATTTTGTTCTTCTTTCTAATGTATTGGATACAGATAGCATCAAGCAGTTTCTTAAGACCAACTAATCTCGGCGCAGTCACCGTATTGAGATTTTGGTTAAGATTCAATATTTTACAGCTGTATGTTTTTATTTTACAGCGCATTTTTTTCAAATATAGGAATGTTATGGAAGAAAATCATACTTGTAAAAAATCTTTAAATAACAATCATGCCTACCAATATTTAAAGGTTAATGCATGTTCTGAACCACCTTATTATCTTTTAAATCCAAATACTGAAATGACACTTAATTTATAAAAGCTGCAAGCAATTGGATGGACCATTATCATCGATAACCGAATTCTACAATGCACTTTTAACACTTAAAAATACAGACACCGATTTGGCTTCATAACGTTATCCTCAGTTGGTGATATGGTTAACAACCACATGAACGTATGTATGTTTAACGTAATTCTTAGTTACCAAAAAGTGTTTAGTCAAAGATTTAATTAAAATTGGGAGCCATTTCAGTACTCGGTCGAAAAACATCTTAAATAGCGGAATTTCGCGGATATTGAGCTACTATCCGTTGAATTTCTGTGTGTAGTATACAAATTGTATAAGTATTTGCTTCCTTTGAAACTAACATCTTATTTTTATTGACTTTGATTGCAATTTTCCTTGTTACAGGACGTAACGTTAGTCAAAGATGGCGGATCCCTAGGCTTCAGTATCATTGGAGGAACTGATCACTCTTGCATTCCATTTGGCGGAAAAGAACCGGGAATATTTGTTTCGCATGTAAGTGACTTATATAGTTTTAAAAAGAATATTAATCTATAAATAAAATTACACAGTTGAAATTAATTAAAAAAGAAATACTTGAATTGAATTGAATTTCAAACGATTAGTTTTAACCTTCTGATTTGAATAAAAATATCTTTAATTTATTTACATTATACATAGTGGTTTTGTATTGAAGATTACTGATTATTAAATATCTGCTACTTTATTATTATTCATTTGATTTCATAATAAGTTTATAATCATATGCAAGGACTGCAACACTAGAAATCATACGCACGTTACCGAATCAATACAAACACCTTTACGCGTCCTTATTTATATTTTATGATTATAATAAAACTAAATGGGTATTGACTAGGTGGTCCCTGGTGGCGTGGCCGCTCGTTCGGGCAAGTTGCGTATGGGCGACCGCATAATCAAAGTGAACGGCAACGAACTGACCGGTGTCACGCACCGAGAAGCCGTCCAATTGTTACTGCAGCCCGGACCTACTTTATCACTCACCGTCCGACACGATCCTCTGCCGCAGGGATACCAGGTCAGTGTGGAACTTAAACATTAGTAATTATTGCACACGTTAAAGGTTTTACCAACTAGAACCGTTTCTAAAACGTCTGTCTGATAAAACATTGCATTTGGGGTAAAGAACCGTCTATTTGTCTGTCTGATTAATCACCATGCTATTATTTTTGCATAACTGAATTGAAGGGATGAGGTTCTATTGTAACAGTACCGAAGTAACATTAAATTTAAAAGAAATATAGAATCAAAGAAATATGTTTGCGATTCTACGGATTTAAATGATAAGTAAACTAATATTAAAATTAAAGATTGCTTTTTACTACATTTTAATTTGTAAATATTTCTCTGTATTTGTATTTTGAAAGATTTATAGTTAAATAAAAGTTCATATATTTAAATAACTTCATAAATATGACTTTTCAAAATACCATATCTTAAGTGCACTACATCATGTATTTAGCTCATCAAGGAATGTCGGAAAATACGCAAAGTTGGGTTTATTTTGTGGTGATTTGAAACATGATCTGTACTTATGTGTGTGCCACAACGCAAACTACTTATTTTTCTGCATGTATGCAAGTAATGCGGGTTGTGAGTTAAATGTTGACGAGAATTTCAGGGCATCGTGTGATTCGCAGTAGTATTTAAATTATCGCTTTGAGTAGTGATTTGGCGGTACAGATATTAATGAGACGTAACGCTTAATGCACATTATAATCAGCTGCCGAAAAGAGCTACTAGACTGTCTATGCTGCGAACAGTGTCGCTTTGTGCAGTACGTGTCTTATAAATAATGATAATAATACAAAAAAATCCATTATTAAAACACTCGGCGCCTTATTCCAAAACGCCTACAAAAGTTAGTCCTGGTTTAAACCTAATGTTGTCTTTGTGTTCTTTTTAGCAAACAAAAGTGACAGCATCAGTTTTAGTCCAGGTTTAACTTTAGTCTACGTTTTTAAATAAGGCGGTCACTCATATCATAGGAGGGTTTATACTATTACTATACACGAAACATTATTTTGTTCCACACGTGCGCACCACGGCCAACCTGACACACATTCAGGGTCTCATTCAAGTTGAGATTATATACGGAACTGTAAGTGAAAACGTCCCGCCGAACTCGAACCTATGTGTGTTACTTTACCAGATATATGTCGAACACCCCATCCAAACAATACGTGTGATTCGCTATCGTCATATCCTGAATGTTTATTTCGTAAAGATGCTTTTTTTCTATTCCGTAGATCACTCGATGGAACCTAAAGATTTTGTTTGATTTGTATCGCTTTTTTAGGCCTTTTGTAGCTTTCACTTGGACAGCTACACTTAGAGTATTTTATAACGAAATAATGTCAGTTTCATTAAGTAAATTATTGAAGTGAAAACTTCTTTAGCGACGTTGTACACTTTTTTGTATGGGTAAGAACACGTGACTCAGGACACGTGACCTAATCGAAAATTCGTAAGACAAAAACAATAAAATTGGAAAGGCAAGTCAACAACTTTCAATATTTTGGACGAAACATAGTAATATTTCATTTTATCGTATTATAATAATAAGTCTCTATCTAGGACGTCCAGATGGCAGCTTTATTGCGAAGAAAATGCATTTTTTTACAATAGATGCCGCTAGGTGCGCTTAAATGATAAACTTTTTAATGAAATATAAATGGCCATGTTTGTGTACGATAGCGCAATAAATAAATATTGTATTCTACCACATAAATGATAATACTGATAATTAAAGCAATTCGTGCAAAATTATTCCCTTACCATTCCAAAATATCAAAAATGCACAACGTTAATATTCAAGTTTTCACTTCTGCCGGCACTCCCGGAGTGCAACCCGTCGTTTTTTTTGTGTCAGTCTGTGGCTGTGTATCATTAGAAATGAGAGTATTCGAGTGCATGGCTGGCTTTGCATGTTACCGTTGCATCAGTACAGTAAACATAGTGATTTGTTTGGCTCCAGTGGTGTATAATGAATTGAAAAGTAAAACTCGTAAAGTATTTATTTTTAGAAAATGTTGGTTTTCTTCAGCGACGTCCGAGTTAGTTTTAAACGATGTTTTGTTTAACAGGATCTAACTATAGTAAAACAAGAAGGCGAAAAACTGGGTATGCACATAAAGGGTGGCTTAAACGGCCAACGAGGCAATCCCAACGATCCCAACGACGAAGGAGTCTTCATATCGAAAATCAACAGCGGTGGTGCAGCCAGGAGAGACGGCAGGCTAAAGGTATTGTGCCTTTTTTAACGTATATGATTGGAGGCATTTTAATTGAAAGAAATGTCAGTACCTTAGCACGAACCAATATCGAATTCGAATAGTTTGCGAGTCCGAAATGCCATTGTCAAATGTGTACTGAGTTTTAGTTCTCGTTACGTACTTTGTGCCGCTGCTGTTCAAGTTTCCATACAAAATTTGACATTGACATTTCGGTTTGCAAACTATTCGAATTCGGTAATGGTTCGTGCTAGGGGTACAGATATATATAGTGTTCAGTATTCATGTTGCTCTATGATGTTCATAGCAATGTATTCGGTCGAAATAGTAGATAAAGTAGTTTTTAAATGTCTATTTACTGTCCAATATTCAACCTTGGGTGGGGTGGTTAGGTGCATTAAAATTGACAACAGATTAGACTAACCAATATCAAACGTGGCCTCGTAGTTGAGGTAGCTTTGAATAAACTTCTGTTTACCGAGACCAGAACCAGATTGTTTATAACGAAATTGGCAAGTATACCCGATATTTACCAATTTAGTTATAAAATATAGTGGCTCAAATATTAATCTGATTTATGATTTACTATTAAATAATTCTTCATACAAAGAAAAATGATCAAGATAACTATCATAATTAAATTCATCACATAATCAAACAATAATTTCTCAAATATCCTAGTTTCGAATCTGAGACACAATTACTTACCTAGTATTTATTATATATACTTATTTATTTATCTTCTCTGTTGTTTAAGTATAAACTCTTTTTTTTATGACTTTGTGTTTGGTGTGAACTTTACTGAATTACGTCATAAGGTATTTCAATATCATAGGTCGGAATGCGTCTGCTAGAAGTAAACGGAGTATCGCTATTAGGCGCGACGCACAATGAAGCCGTGAATGCGCTGCGTCAAGCCACTAATGCACCACTGCACCTAATTGTTTGCCACGGGTACACGCGCCCCGAGAAATATACCGTAAGTACTGGAAATAAGAACTAAATTGCAAGCACTCCGGCATGGATTCAATTTTTTATTTATAAACAATTTTGATTCTTTTGTTAATATTAACTATACCATCCTTGGTACCAACCAAATTATGTTGTTTTAAGTAAACATAAAATTCGCAATATTTTTTGATATTTTTGTAAAAATTACTTCTACGTTTTTTTTTAAATCAACTGTGATGCTTTAGTTCTTGGAAATTTTTTGCATGCTTTCAAGAATTCATGTTTTTTTTTAACTTTTTTTACTATCATTACTATACAAATATCTTTACAAACTAAATGCAAACTGTTGCTTTCATTAAAAAGCTTCATATTTCTTAAGACACTTTAAATTACTCACATTTAAGTTTTCTAACTAGCACGCTTACAAATGTACTTTGCACAAAGCGATGTGTATTTGAAGTAGCGCTGGCTAGAAAGAGATAGACATAGCGAATGTTTGGACAGACCGGTAGTGAGAGCGGGACGGCGGACACTGGCGGCTCTCTGTCTCACTCAACGTCGAGCCTGGACCGAGATGAGCCGTTGCATCATCATCAACAGGTAAAAAATTATTATTATTGAATTTACTGCACAGTTTAAACATTAAAACTATATACTTTATTCCCAGGAAGAATGATTTCCCTAACAAATTATTATAACGAATGTTTAACTTTGCAGGAGCAACCGTTCCAACAGGATTTGGTTGAGTTTGAACATGAGAAACAAGTCGCCGAAGTTAGGGAGAAGTCTACTCCAGAAAAGGTAAGGCGAACTGGAACGGATATTTTAAAATTTAAAACGTTAATAGCTTTGTATTAAATAAAAAAATAGGTGGCACACAAGCACTTGGTTAGCGACCACCGTAGCCTTATAGCGCTTGCGATACAAAAGTGTTATTCACGCGTTGTTAGATCCTACCACGTGGAGTTACTGATAGAAACTCAATTACTACCAAAAGGTAGTATTATTTCACTGTCTATATGTCTAATAACTTTCTTATTTTAAAACACTAAACATTGCCTTATACGCTTCTGAAATTACCATGTAAATATGTATTTTATTGGAAGATATTGGCTCCTGATACACAGCTTAATCTTATATTTTTAGGAGTCAGGGTCTCTTCTTTTTTGCATTCTGATATTTATCCAATAAAGAATTTATTATTTTTATTATTATAATTTGTATGGATATAAATCGCAGGTGTTAGACATAGTCCACGCCGTCGAAAGCATGGCTCTTGAACCGGTTCCGCCCACGTCGCCCGAGCCCCAGCACAAGACGACCACAGTCGTCATGTCTAAACACACACTCCAACCTCAGGTAACATATCATACAGTCACACAACCCTTACAAACTAAGCCTAGTCTTTGCTAGATATTACTCCAATCAAACAAGCTTTCTAAGTAAACGAGAATTGTAGTATTCATCTCATCGTTAAAAAATACTCCCATCTTTTCAACATTCATCTAAGTCTAATAGATTCTATGCTATTTTCTTTCTATCGCTCAACAAAGTTTAGGAAATATCAATAAGGAAGTGCTACGTTGAAAACGAATTTGATTTAAAAGCAATCTCATCTTTAAAGTATATAATATTATGCTATTATTTTAAATTACTGCTTAAATTGTTCTAAGTTGTAAGTGAGACTAGGCATTCTAAATGTATGTTTTTTTTAAATTAATTTTTATCCATTGTGCATGTGTTACAAAAGTTTATTTGTCTCAAACTTGGATTGGGAACTTTAAACTCTAAAGCTTTATAAATATTTGAATTATTTCGTTTTCAGCATGAAAAATAGCTTTGTATTATTTATGGACTTACATAATGATGGATAACTCTGCAATATAATTTTTTGCACGGTTGTTCTTACGGTCGAAAACATACTTCGACGGCATGCACTCTGTATATTTGTATTGTAGTTATAAATATAGCTTGCATGAAAATATTACTTAAATGTTCTTTTTTATACATTATTATAAGTATATCGTATTAACACTATCTTCCAAAATAAATGTTTAGTATATTTTACATTATAGCCTTTATTATTATTATGTAGAGGGTTTATTATTCGCCGGGAGAGTGGCACTTGAGGGAAACCTTGATTTCGAACGAATTTCTGTTTAGGTGTATTTTTGAAGGATATTTTGTTCTATAGTTGTATTAAGTGGATTAGGAACAATTTGCATGTACCCTTCTTTAGTTCTTATCTGTTTAAAAATTACATCTGGTTATTCAAATGTTATAGATGTACTTCTTATCGAGGTTAGCTAAACTGTAACTTTTCGTTATTTTGATTTATAGTAGCTTAGATCAATGTCGTCATGTGTTAGCATACCGATTATGGAAGCAGATGATCTGGTGGATCAGCAAATATATTGATTGAGCATATTACCTCCATTGCAGAGTGCAAACCCAGAGGAAAAGGAGGGAAACACATAGTACATCAATTATGCGTTCTGTCCAAAATGTAAATGTAAATTAAATGTGTAATTAATGTTTGATTAATAATGAGTTTACGTGAATACGTCTACTGACTACGTTGGTGATTTTGTAACATGGAGCAGTGGAGCTACAATATCTAACTTTTGTATTAAATACATAATTAGATTATAAACAATAGATACCAGTCGGAAAAACAGGACAACAGTTAGTATTTGAATTCTTTAAAAAAATATTATTTCATTTAAAAATTATACATTGTAGCTTCATGTTTGTAAATAAAATTATCTAGTGTCCCTTTAAGTCTTATGACTAATTATATTTAAAAAAAATATAATTGCTGAAAATAGTAACATGTGAACTTCAATTCATAAACTGTACTTATTCAGTAAAAACATTCAAACATATTATAGAGTCTGTACAGTTTAATTTTACAAGATAATTGATATTCCGCAATTTTTGCTACTTGGAATATAAAACTAGTTTTTACGGTTTAATGCACGAAACTTTATTTATTTATTGACGTTTCGTACCCTTTACAGGCTACGTCGTCAGAATCAAACTTGTAACGTCAATAAATAAATAAAGTTTCGTGCATTAAACCGTAAAAACTAGTTTTATTTAATGAGTGATGTGCGTGAAAACCTAAGAAACAAATACTTGGAATATTTTCGGTAATTTACCTTTAAGGTCAATTATTTTATAAAATTAGAATGTACTCGCTTTATTCGGGATTTTTTATACAGTAGTGTGTGCGGAAATGTGAAATATTATTAACTGTACTTTAGTATTTATACTGAATTAATGGAATAAATTTGACAGTTGAACTGTGATCTTCTAAACTGAATGCTTGTGTCATATAAATCTTAATTCAACGTTGTTGCTAGTTGAGCTCAGTTCCATTGTGTGCATGGAAATAAGGTTCTATTTATCTAAGTATTATGTTATATAGGTTTATTTCTACATGACGATTAAATTGATTTATCAGTCAACGCTTGTTCATCTCAATACAAAGCAAAGGTATTTTGTTAATAAAACATATCATAATATTCCTTTAGCTGCAGTTCATTCGTTCACATTTGTCTTTGTTCTAGTGTTCTAAATGTTACCTTCATGTATTTTCATAATCGTCGTATTAACCTTTATACAATCAACTTATATTTGAATCTGTCCTGTTAATCTCGTTGTTATAATAATCATATTTTCATGTTGGCTTTACCCAATATAACATTTGTGTATATTTCCCAAAAGGAACAGGTTTCCTACACACTCCAATGAATAGTCTGAATGTTATTATATAACTCATAAATTTGTACTTCCAGTTGACCAATACAGATATAGTAAACACTGCCTATACTTAGTCCTTATACATAATATAGCCCAATTATTCCGAATATCCTTAAATCAAATGTTTGTAATCTTTACATACAGAGACCAAATTTTTATAACAATTAATCATGTACTTATCTTTAAATCTGTGTTTATTACTATTTACCAAATGGCTTATCATTGTTTATAATATATATCCTGAAACAATGTGTAAGTAAATGTCTTTAATGTATTTATTGATTCGCGTTAACAATGCATTTATTTTTATTTTAATGAATTTATAATTTTATTTATATTTTAAACTTTTGACATATCAAATTGTTTTATCAGTACTTAAAAAGGTACATTATACATCAAAACATATATTTAGCAAAAATTTGTGTTAATGTAATGAAAAAAATGTATTTTCAATATATATACGTAAGTTGTAAAAATTGGCCAAATCTATACTTGACTGCCAATTGTTTTAAAGTTGATAAAATTATTGTCTGTATCCATGACTATTAATTTTATGGTACGAAAGTATTATTGACGTTATGTTTTAGTGTTGCATTTAAATACAAGATGTTTCAGAAAAAAAGCAATTCTTTCAATTTCGGGACATTTATTTTGGAAGATTTATTTTTCTTCGGCCCTTGTGTGAACATGTTTATTTCAACCTAATTAACATAAAAAAAGAAAGAGAAAGGTATGTTTTCGTGCAAGTAGCTTATGTCAAGTGCGAGATAAATGCAGGGTTAATCACAAGAACAACAACCATATAAATACATTTGTATCTCGCACTTGTTATATTCGACAGCTATTAGCTAAATAAAGTAGGTAATGTGTTGCGTGAGTATAGTATATACATTGTATTGGTTTGGTTAGTCGTCTAGTTCGCAAGCGGCGCCCCCCTCGCCGCTCGCAGTATTCACGGAACAGAAGGTGAAGACGCCCCCGCCCCCGGCGACGCCCAGTGGCCGCCCTTCACATCCGCCGCCTCCGCCTCCGCCCAAACCGAAACCACAAGTGCCCCGAAAACCACACACGAAGCGAGTTAGTTTCACACCGGAACCGGATTACGAACATTCCTCGACGAACGAACGAACCACACCCTCCCCGCCCGTGCATGATGCGCGTGACGACGCGAACGGGCATACCGTCGACACTAACGATGCATGCGAGGGAGTTAGCTCTTTACTAATACGAAACCGACTGCTGAGTGCGGACGTGGAAACTTCGAAACCCGTTCCCAGAGCGAACCTCGTCCTACCAGACGACCTCATCATACCCCCACCGCCTTCGTTCGATACGAACGTAAGTGACGTTCCATTGCGCAGGGAACTGAATGTACCACCGCCCATCACCATCATTCCTGAGAGAATTATTCTTCCCGAGCCGGAAGTCGCGGACACTTCCATACAGTCTTCGACTACGACGAACAGCCCCGATGCCGAGGTCCCCCCGCCTATAAATTACAAAGCCTTTCCGTCTGTCTCGCAACCGTTGAAAATCGATAATTTCCGATCGGCAATAATTTCTGAAGTGCCTTCATATCAAGCAGTCCGGATGTCTGAATATCCAGCCTGTAAATGTGATCAATATTATAAACAACTTTCAGCAAGCCCCGGCGGGGAACCAGATGCTCCCGAACTTTTACATGTTCAATATAAATCTCTTCCCATCGTTTCACACGTCCCCCACTCCCCGTGTTATTTACATCCAGATAGAACTTACTATGAAGACAATTTTCAGACTTCATTGCGTGACTTGAGAGTAAGAAATCTATCACCTGGTATGGTTCATTCTTCGACGTATCCCCCCATTAACCCTTATCCGTCCCTCACTACGGTTGCGGGAACTTTCAATCCATACACGTGTACAGTCCCAATTAATACGAATCAAAACAACAATGGATTTAAATCACAAATCTCTCCTAACATCAGTTCAGGCAAAGACATAAACGCCAATGTTACCCAAACCCTACCTACTTATGTCAGTGATATGGCAAAAAAAAGTGTACAATCAATAGAAAGAAGAGTTCGTTTCGGTGAAGTGACGACTGCGCCCGATAGTGATAATTTTTCGGACGGTTCGGAACTCGCGAGGGAAGGCAGTTCCTCACCCGCACCCACCCTGAAACCCGCATGGAGCAGCCAAATCAAATCCTTCGCCATCGGCGAGGTAATCATCAATGTAACGGCATAAACCTCACAAGCTTCTTTGATTGTGTTCGTCGACAACCCAACCCGATTACTGACAAAACACATAAACAATATGCAATAGTCATCCCCACCATACCCCATTTATACGTTACTTATTTTTTTATTGTTATTAACTTGCAGTTATATTATATTTTGCATGTTTTGAACTAACTTCATTAAAATTGCATTTACTTTATTTATTTTAATATAGCTGATGATTAATAACTTGGGCTGCATGGTTGTTGAGTCTTGAGGGGATTTTCACGCTTGTAAATATCATAGGCTTTTTTTAAACTCATAATCACATTGTACTTATAACACTTTTTATCTGTATCACTTTGTACATAGTATTGATTTTCTATTGTGATTCCCAGGCTTCCCCGCCTCATTCAGGCAATTTTGTGAAAGCCTCTGTCAGCGATAAAAAGAAATTTTTCGAAAATGCAATGGAAGAAAGCCACAAACCATCGCCTAAGCCAGGTATAGATATTTTTTTACTATTTTTATTATTACTTTACTCCATATCTCTTATAGGGTTGGTACGACAACAAAAGTTTAAAATCGAGATACATAAATGATAAATAGTTACATTTAGTATCAATATCACCCCAAAAGCTACACAACTATTTATAATAGTCATTAGGAAGCTCAGTTGTTACTCGGAAATAATGCATCAAAGTTATATCCACCCATAAAAAACCCAATCCGTGAAATCATTGATCAACCTTAAAGATGCGTATATCTGCGTGATATTTAATAAATGCTCACCAAGCTCTAACCAGTCTCAGTTTGCTGGTCTAATTTCTCTATTCAGAATAACAAAGTTTGCCTTTGTTAACTATTAACAAACGACTGCAGTGATTTTGGTTTCTTCCCCAAACGGGCTCTCTGATTTCTACCTACCCCGTGTATCCCTGGAACCTTACTCATCGACAGAAACACAACACCACCAAAATGTAATGGTCTTCTGTAAGGTGGAGGTTACTTCGTCAGACGGGCACTCCAATTCGCGCTGAAAATCCGCTATGTCCAATCTCTTCTATACGGGATTTATAAAAGAAATACACGTGAAATTTGTCCAGAACGCGTATTCACATTCCTGTCAGCGGATGAGGTGGAGAAATTGAAGCAGGAAGAGGAGAGGAAGATGGCCAGCATGTCGCCGTCGGAGCTCCGCTCGTGGTCTCCCGCGGGGGACCACCAGAGCTGCGATAGCTCGCATTCCGACGACGAGCCGTATGAAAACGGCCACAGGTATATATCTTATTTTACTTTTGATGTGTCACATCTTTCCTCTCGCTTTCGTGCAATTTGTGGGAGTGATTACGTGAAGTGGGATGGAAGTGTGTAACAGGAAGTTTGGGAAGCGCGCGTTATTTGATTTGATTTGATTTTAGAACAATTTTCAAATGCCTTATTCCTTTTGTAGTAGGTTTTATTGCTTTTTTTTACTAATCGAAGGTGAGGTTTCAAATGTTACAAATCATACGCGACTACTGTAAGGCTCGCTCGTTTTTTTTTATCAATTTGACATACCATTGACAATTTCACCAATTTCAATAAATATTTAAAGATGCGGTCAGTACTCGACCGTGTGAATTAATAATAATTAATAATGTACCTACCTTAAAATAATGATATGACAAATTATGCGTTAAATTCAATGAATTAGAAATAATATAGAAGCATAACTCGCTAACAAAGGCCGCTAAAACATGGTTCCAAACTCAAACCACTAAACGTCAATACTAACGCGACATGAACACAGAGAAAACAAAATACTCTGACAAATCCAATATCGGCACATGAATTCGGCTATTTATTCATTGGGTAAGATAATGTTAAAAGGAAATACCAATCAATCCCATGATGGAGTGTTGATCGCAGTTTTTTCACCCCGCCCACCTGGTCGCAGTTTGTTTGGAACCACTTTTTAACGCAGTTCGTATAGGAGTTACGGTTTACAATCATAGAGCAACACCGAAGGGAGTAGCTATACTATGTGCACCAGCGACCTATTTACTATGCAATCAATTTATAATTACTAGAGGTATAATATAATCTAACAGTATTTGCAATTTCACGATGACGATGAAAGGATGTCTTATATAATGTAACAAACAGTATTTATTGTTGGCAACGTTCCTAATTTTGCCTTCATTGTCGAACCTTTAAGACACGTTAGTCGTTTTTCGGTAATAGCGAATAGATTATGATGCCAACATAAATGGCAGCTGTTACACTAGCGCAAGTCGCGGCGCAGTAAACGTAATTGTAGATGTGCACGGGGTGGTCACTGACTCCGAATTTGAGCCAAGTCAGTGCTGATTCGATACTGGCATATTTTAAACTGATTTAAAAACAGTACAGCGCCGCGCCGACTTCAACTACTATGTAAACAGTGCGAGTCAGTTCTGGGAAGCCGACATTGTCCGATTTGGAGTCAGTGGTTTTATGCCAACACTTGGCTATTTGTCATTTCGACAGCAGGTTGTCCTTATCGTACTCTATAGGAAGTAAAAAGCAAAGACTGTTGTCAAGTTTACAAATAACAAATACGAATAGCCATTTAAAGTGTCGGCATTACTCAAGATGTTCGACGCTATTATACCTACGTTACTTGTGTTAACAGTGTGTCATTGGGTGGCGTGAGTCCATCAGCGAAGTCTCAGAGACGGCGCGAAAGGCGCGAAGGTTCCGAAGGCGAAGACGCTGCGACTAAGGCCGCGCGACGCGCCGCTTGGAGGGCCGCAAGGCTACGATCCTTGGAACAGGTAACCTGCCTTATCTGAATGCAACAAGAGCTATTATTGTGTAAACTTAAACATTCGTGCGACTAGGGCCGTTCCATCAGCAAAGTCTCAGAGACGGCGTGAAGATTCCGAAGGCGAAGACGCAAAGACTAAGGCCGCTCGACGGGCCGCTTGGAGGGCCACCAGGCTACGATGTTTGGAACAGGTAACCTGCCTTATCTGAATGCAATAAGAGCTATTATATTGTAAACTTAAACATTCGCGGCGAGTAGGACCGTTCCATTAGCGAAGTCTCAGAGACAGCATGAAGGATCGAAGACGCGGCGACTAAGGCCGCTCGACGGGCCGCTTGGAGGGCCGCCAGGCTACGATCCTTGGAACAGGTAACCCAGTGGCGTAGCATGGGGGGGGGCGGGGGGTTGCGGTCCGCACCGGGCGGCACTTTGCCGGGGGCGGCGCTGCGGAGGGGGCAAATAGAGAAAAAAAATTAAAATATAAAAAAAAGTTAATTTCTTTCAGTTTTTTTTTTCGTCATTTTTTTGTTGTTGTTACCAAATACCCAGGTACCTATGCATGCGTGATGCAAGCGCAAGGTTTCTCAATAACTATTATTTAGGAATTATTGTATTACGTTTTCTCTGTAATTTTTCTAAGTGATATTGTGATAGTCTACCTTCTACTCTATGTCAAAAAATGTTAATTTCACTCTTAGGTTAGTGTTATTCAATAAAAGTACTCTTTTTACCATGCCTCAATTTTTTTATAATGGATTGCAAAAATAAGAGGGCGGCAAATTTGGAATCCGCACCGGGTGCTAGTGACCTATGCTACGCCACTGAGGTAACCTGCCTTATCTGAATGCAATAAGAGCTATTATTGTGTAAACTTAAACATTCGCGGCAAGTAGGGCCATTCCATCAGCGAAGCCTCAGAGACAGCATGAAGGTTCGAAGACGCGGCGACTAAGGCCGCAGGACGGGCCGCTTGGAGGACCACCGGGCTACGATCCTTGAAACAGGTAACCAGTCGTATCTAAATGAAATAAGAGCTATTTTAATGTAAACTTAAATATTCGGTGGCGTGAAGGTTCCGAAGGCGAAGACGCAGCGAGGCTACGATCTTTGGAACAGGTAATCTGTCTAATGTAAAATTAATGAGATAACAGACATAGTTGGAACAGGTAATCTGTCTTATTAATTAAAAATCAAATTAATGAGATAATAGACATAGATGGAAATAGATGATGCAAGTTTATCTACTTCGCATGCCAAAGAGCTCTTTCTTTAAAGGAATTTTAATTCTTCACGTCACTGTTTTATTTACTTAACGTTAATCGCAATTACTTGTGACGCACGACGGGCCGCTTGGAGGGGCTTTATAGACTTAAAAAAAACTCTGCTGAAGCATAGAAACCGGCACTCTTTAGAAAACAGTACCCCGTTTTCAAGACATAGACTTTTCACTTTTTAAGGGTTTGCTGTCAAACTCCATCCAGGTCAAGAACTAGGGATGGGATCTACGATGTAGTGGTCTTTAAAATTAGCCTTTTTTAGATACCGAAGCACGAAAGTGTGTACTTTTTAGAAAGCGTGAGATGTTAAATCTTCATGGCATACTCCTGAGCTGCGAAGTTCAGACACTTATAATTTGTGTGAACAGAAATACATGAAGCGACTCGACCTTGGATTGGTGTAATTTATTCTAACGCTTTGCAAACTTCTTAATAAGGAATAATGTAGCGTTCAACTGGTGAAAGAATTTAAAAAATCGGTTCAGTACTTGTACTTCTAGAGTTCAACCTAATAAAATTTCCAGATCAACATACTTTACCTCTTCATAATAATAATAAGGTATTAGTCAAATGTATATTTCATCTATTACAGGAGGCAATAGAGTCACAGAAAGCCATAAAAAACCTGGTGGGTCCAGCGAAAGAAATCATAGGTGAAATCCCGTCGAGGGAGAAATCTCCGTCCGAGGTAAATACACTACCAAATATAGAACCATTTGAATCATGAATGTTGTCCGATTAAAATTACTAAGTATCAAATAATTTTAGAGTTGGAATAAATTACATAACAAAGTCAACTAACCAAATCCATTTTAAAAGTTATGGGAATTAGAAAGTGTTTGAATAAATTTACTCTTGCATACATGTTGTACTTTGTTTTCAAGTAAATAAGCATTTGATATAAAACTAACAATTTATTTCAACTCTCTTCAATGAATGATGTCTCATGCTCTAATAAAATAATTATCGTTTGTTTGTAACAGTTAACACAGAATGATCATTAACGCTAATTAGTTGGTGTTTCATCAATAGCTTATTACCTAAACATACTTCCTAATTGTGTTTCTGTTCAGTTTTTTTGTTCTGTAACACGAGATACCTTCAATTTAGTTATAGCAACATTTCTCATTTTTATTTTCATAAAACATGCATTGTGTACACTAAATCCTAATATTGTGTCTAAGGGTCCATCCATGTCGCTTGGCATTTGTCCGTCCATAATGGGTTGTGAATGTCATTGGCTTTACAAATTATAGAAATGGCCTCTACCACGTATCGCGTTGCGTACAAAACCGGGGCCTATATTGGCCGTGAAGGAGAAGGAGAAATTGTTAGACGAGCGAATAACGCTGCGAACCGAAGAATATGTGTGCCCGGCAACCGGCGAGACTAAAGTGCGGACTGTCGAATACATTGAAAAAGTCATTGAGAAAGAGGTACTCCGTCTACGCACTGTACATTGAGCTATTAGTAATGCCGACTCGCTGTACACAAGCAATTGCCGTCTGTTTTTTTTATTTTATTAATTTTGTATAATTTGAAGAGAACGCTTAGCTTTTTAAGTGCAATTTAGACGCGTACGACTTGACGACTGTTTGACGATAAATGATTTTGACACATGTAAGGCAATCGAATGGAGAAGTATACGCAAAGCTCGACATAGGTGGCGCTGCAAACGCTTGACCCAAACCACAGCCGAATATTGCAGCTGTCAAATTTTAAACGTGTTTTTTTTTGTTGTTAAAAATATTAAATAAGTGTTAAAAAGTGTATCTATCTTAATTTTGCATCAGTCATACATCACATGGAGTTAGGTTACCTCTGGCTAAAATGGGAAGTATAACATTGGGTTCTTTTACAGACTTGAGACATATGACCGCAATTTTAATTTTGGTGCATTTTTTTCTGATCAAAATGAAGACATCGAGATGCAATTACCAGACCCAGATACATACCATGGTGTAAACAGAAGCTTAGTTTTACCCCCCTTTTCAAAGCAACATAAAATTATATTTTTGTCGGGATATATGCAGTTTTCTCACAACTACCAGGAATTGCACAACGCGGCATTTGTAATTTGTTTAATAAAAAGCTTTAAAATTAATATAAGCTAATAGGTATGTATTTGATAGAAGTTTTGGGTCAAGCGATTACAGCGCCCCTAGTGGAAAAAAATTGCAGATTTCTTGTCCATTGATAGAACAGTTCACAAAAATGCATATAAATAACACTATAGACGCGTTATTTATATAATAAGTAAGGTTGCCAAAGATCTATCCATTCCTTAAGACTGATTACAATTCCCTGGTATTGCAAGTGTAGACGTATACTTGCTTGCCACCTTTTTCACAAAAAATCGGAAACGACTCACGACTCCAAAGACTTTACGTTAAGGACTTATCCGTAAACGGCGTGTATAAACACTCGATATTAATATTGCGGGGCCTATTTCAGCGCACTATAATGATAAATGCACAAACGTGGAACACATTTTTTAAGTAGCGTAGTGATTGTAAATGAACTCCTATTAGAAAATGTTAATGTGGTTACAGGGCTTTATAATGATAAAACAATATTTGTCTTTTGAGTTCGATACTGAATACAAAAATGCACAAGTAACTTTAATCGTAAAATAAGTAAAAAATTAGATATTTATATTTCAAGAACATATAAAAATAACAGATTATTTTGTTAAAAAATTGTTGGTCGTTCGATATCTTTTTTATGTTCAGAATCGAACCTTTTCCAATTTCTGTGTATATGAGTATGTTGTCTCGTCTGCATTGATATTATATTTTTTTATATTTAAAATATATGTTACACGAGTGTTGCATGGCATGCTAATATAAATATTGTATATTATCATTTGTCAGACGATACCGGGATTCTAGACACGGGAACCTACACCGAAAACACTTGAATGGTTTGTTGCCTTAAATATATTTATTGTTATTACAAATATGGCTTTTATTGCAGCTTAGCTAAAATAATAACGCATTTACATTAGCCAACTAATTTAGTTGCATGTTTGTTTTGTACTATATTGTGTTCATCACTCATGATACTTATTACGTATAATTTTATGTTAACCAATTTTATTGATATAACTTGAAAACTTGTTCATTTTAGCGCTAGAGCTCATTACAGCGGTACAATAAATTATAGGTAGACCGCTTATTTCAGTCCTCGCCTGCGGGGCATAGGGAGGCATAGAGGTATAAGAATAGAGTAGGGGAGATATAGACTCTACTACAAGTGGAAGTGTCCCTCTAATAGAAAGAGAAAGAAGATGTGAGACCGCTAGCTTTCTCTCTCTAATCGCGCATGCGCATTGGCAACCATAAGCATCTTACTACTTCGATGTGATGCCATTGGATGCCATGCGTCACAAGATAGAGAGATAGCTAGCGGTCTCTCATCTTCCTTCTCTTTTAGTGCTGCCTTCCCCACTCTATTCTTATATCTCTATGGGGGGAGAACAAGGACCGTGAGAGGTGAGGACTCAGTCAAGCGGTCTACCTATAATAATTTTGGTGCTAATACATTCAATGAACAAATACAACAAAAATTGTATTAAACGAAACATGGCTTCGTCACCAATTTTTGTATGGGAGAGCGGGGTTGAAAGTGCCGGGGGTAAGTTGTTGCGATGGAAATATCTAAAAAGCAGAAATAGATAAATTATATGTTCGAATTTTGTCTATTGTTTGGAAATCTAGCGCATGCTCGGCGGTTATTATAATTGCTCCAGATACTTGGACCTAGTGGCAGTGTGTGCGGTGATCCTTTAATACCACATTGGTAAATATTTTTTCATTCATACTTTTTGGTCTCAAGAAATCATTTTTGGTGTTAAGGTTTACTATAAATAAAAGTAAAGCTATCTTATGTTGTGGTTTTTAATTCTAAAATCTATTTTTATCCATGTAAATATTATGTACGGCACAACCAACCCCATGATTTTACCAATATGATTTTCTATAAAGACTTATTAAAAATACAAAATATTAAATTTTCCCTAAGATAGCCTAAAAATTAACCTTATCATTCGTCTTCTACGATTTATCTAGCAATTTGTCAAAAACGCCACTTTCAGCCCCGCTCTCCCCTACATAATTTTTATACACTGTAGCATAAAACATAATTTGAGGAGATTGTAGCGCCACATTTTTCATCGGTAACAATGAAGCTAATTTGATTCTTTGTCATCGAAATGCCATATTATCATTCATTAGTATTCATACGAAATCTCTTGCAAAGGAAACTTAGAAACGATTATGAGGATCATAATTTTAAAAACCCCACAGGTGGAGACAACGCAAGAGAGAATCATATCATTGGAATTGACAACTAGTCCTAGTAGCGAGACCGCGCCGGATCTAGAAGAGGCGGGAATTAATTTAGGGGACGGTGAGGTCGAAGGCGGTGACAATTCGCTGCAACCTGACATCGTGCAAGTCGTCAATCCTTTACTGGATGGAGGCGCCGGCCGTGTCACTGCAATCCCTGTAGGGCCTGCTGATAGACTCACCGCCTATACGGAACAACAATAAACCAGATCTCTTCACTTGCTCATCTCCATCGAAACCGGTTCATCCCAAACTGGAATACTCCTTACGTCCAAATAGGAAACTTATTATTACTAAAAGGGTAACGCCCCTTTTAATATACAATACTTAAAAAGGAACGCCCCTTTCCTCATTGGTCCTATAGGACCGAATACAAAGTAACTCCATGACAGCGCATTGGCTAACGAACCGAACGAACTCGATTGTAGATTTCTTCAACGAAACGAACAGCGACGTATCATTCATTGAACGAGTTTTCCATCTACTTTTTTGTATTATGAACTGTGATAATAACTTTAGAATTCCACCGACTTCTTGTGTTACTTAGAGAGAGACTTGAAGAAATCCACCAACGAGCTGCACTTGAACGCATTTCAAATTGATCACAATTTTTTATACTTTATTTTTCGACGGAGATTCTAGGTTTTTACTATAAGTAATCGTTGTCTATTTTGATGTAGAACAATATTCTTACAGTACTTTACGTATTTAATTTTAATTATTTTTCATTCCGTGCAAGTTTTAATGTTTGACTGTATTATGATGATGCTGTACCTGTTAAGAGAAAGTTTAAGGGGCATGTTTGTATAATGGGCAAAGATTGTACACATTCGATTTGTTTTTATAATCGACGCAAAAACGTGTACTTAAGCTAATTTTTCCACAGCGGAATCTTGGCAAGTAAAGATCCGTTGAATATAGCATCAGCCTTCAAGTTATTTTATTCGAATTAGGACAATTTTTTTATACTTGAACGCGAGTGTTACGTATTCGGTAATGCTCTTACGGAATAACTAGAAAACAATGCAAATCGAACGTGTGCGGTCATGCTTAGTAGTTTATGGACATATCGAAAATGTTGACGAGATATTATAATTCCATGGATAGATGTAGTAGTCACACCCATCCTTTAAGTGTTTGGCATCCGTATTATGGCATCACAGAGCAACGTCGCTCCGCATCCATGTAAAGTTGATAGTTTATAAACATAAATGAACTATTGTTATATCATAATATTTCTTATTTTATATGTAATAAATTTAACATGTAATATGTTGAATTCGTACAGTATTCTTTCGTGTTTACTGGTGTTCTAGTATTTTAATTTAATGTTTTATTAATTTTAGTTACTTTTATGTATGTGGTGCCTTAATTCTCAAATGGATTTTATGCAATGTTTTTATATTTTAATTATTGTTACGATTGTAATTCCGGCTCATTCTATTTTTATTATTTTATTATATATACGGTAATGTGTTTGTACAATAGAAAAATTATATTCTTACCTGGAATGGCCGTAAATTATTTTTTGTTCTCGCGTCTGTATATCCTGTCTACAGTTTTAAATCTCAATCAAATGTATATTTCAGCTGTGACTATGAAAATGTAAACTGTTTTGAATAATATTTAATTAAAGTATCGTGAGGTAGTTATATTGAATGAAAGAATGTTTTTATGTGTGTCCTTTATACCTTTTTAAGGCTCTTAGTGTATGATTGTAAACTAATGAAAATATTGTATGTTTGTCCCAATTAAATGGTTTAATATATATTTTAATAAAATAAATAAAATAGTTTGATTTCAATAGAGTTAAACACAGTAAGTCCTTTGTAATATTTAATTATTGATATTATAATATTAAAACACAATTTAAATTCTATTATATCTACTAAGAGCAACAAAAGTATCTTATAAATATTAAAGTACATATTATGTATAACTTCATCATCAAAGGAGATTATTTCTTTGGAGCGATGATACCCTCTAGTTGCGCCTAAAAGAAGATAAAGTATTGTTAGGTTCAGTGCCAAGACATTACTTGCAAAATTTATTTTACTTACGTCGCAATGACCGGAATAAGAGGAGCTCGATGGCACAATGGTTGGCGTTTTTTATACCGTGAATTCAATCTCGATACGCTCTCCAAATATCAAGAAGTTTTGTATGTAAATTTAAACAGCGCCACAACGTACGGAATGCGAATTAAAAATCGTCCATACATACATTTGACGCATATCGAGATTGAATTCATGATTACTGGTGATCAGACGGGCAACCGAAAATTTATTATCTCGAGTTCCTCTGCATTTTAGAAGGTTGGTACCGGCTGCGTCTGCAGTCTTTAGCATCCACCAATGTGCACGGTGCCAGCGTGGTGAGAAACGGCCCTTTCTCCTTTTGCACCAATATTGGTAAATTAATGAACTAATGATACCGAGACACTTCCAAGTTTGCTAAATTTACAGTAAATTTGCTAAATCTCGATTCAACTAAAACTAAACCTAAGTGGGCCCTGAACTAATATGTCAGAGCATTTCACCTTCAATTGTGCATTAGTCTTCTTCAAAGCCAGCAACTCTTCTTGATGGCGTTTCTCTTCGGCCGCTCGCAACTCGGCCGCGCGGCGTTCCAGTTGCTCCGTCTTTTGTTTCAACTCCATGCACTGCTTCTCGAGAGATGAACGTTCTGCTTCCAACTTAGCAACTTGATCCATAAGGTCGGATTTACCTTGTTCTGACTAACAAAAGGTTAAAAATGTTATCAATCATTTTCCTATTGCAGATGATTTTATAGAATTTAAAGTCTTGTCGCCGAAAACATACAGTCAGCTTCATGAAAATCGAAGTATGAAGACTGATCAAAATTATCGAAGATACTTCAATTTAATTTTACATGCGCTATTAGATAATGTTATTGTTGTAACCGTAATTGTGTGTCAATATTATAGAAATAACATAATTTATAAAGGAGATTGCTAAGCTTCCATACATGTTTGGCCTAAAGACCAAAAAAATCATGAAAAATTGTTTCCTAGACGCGAAATTATATATAAATTACTGTAGAAACGAATATTATTGACGGACACCCCTGAGAACTTCTATAAACCATATACACTGAACTTATTAAAATAATAAAAAACAAATAAGTTATATAGTAAACTAGGGAAACCAAGCCAAGTACCGAAATTATGGATTACATTAAGGTATATAGAGCATGTAGATTAACAGATAGTTGCCTGTTTTTAAAGTTAATGCAACTTTTAAAATCAGGTGTCATTTCCGGTTATAATAAGGTACTCAGTAGCTTCATTATTTTTGTTATGTTTTTAAGATAACCATATTTTAGATTTTTAGTGTATCACACCTTATAATTGTATTTATTTATTAATTTATAGTCAGGGAACGTAGGCCCATAGATAGATACCTTGAAGTCTAACATATTTACAGATTATAATGTGTTTATGGAGGTGTTTGGCGAAAAATGTATGGCAATAGACTTTATGATGTCGCCTACCATCTATAATAATTGTCTGAGCACATTTGCATCTAGTGAAAATGATAATATAGTTGTGGATATTAATACCACAGTGTAATTAAAAAATATATACATATTTTATCGATCTTTACAAAATAGATTTGTTTTTATGTTATATAAACAACTTCGATCAGTCTTTGGCTGAATGTTACTACACCCATAGCCAATAAAAATGATTCGTATGTTTTCCAAACCGGTAAAATTAAAAGTCCTTTTTAAAGTAAATATATTATCCAAAGGTGTCCGTTGAAATCTAATGACTGTAAATTAAATTATAAATTACGCCAAGAATTACCGTGTATGTCAGTATTTTTTTGTGCATTTGGGCCAATTTGAGCAATCTCCTTTGTAATGTGTTAAGAGAATCAATTATATATTCGCGAATAACTGTCAAATGGTAACTAAGCACTCAAAGTTATCAAAAATATTTTGGCAGTAAAGGAAAGTAAACGCTAAACTAAGATATTACGGTTCTTATCTTTTCATTTCGTGCATGGCGTAATTGAGGTGTCTTTTGTTTAGGCCTAAAGGCGGGATTCCATTATGTAACTTACTTGTATGCAAGGTGTAAATTACATGCAACTTAAAAAATCCTGCATACAAGCTACAAGTTGCGTATCAATTGTATATTTCTATTCTAGTGACGCGCAAACTGAAAGCGCATAGGTACGTTATTTGCACGTTTCACTTTAGTAAGTTAGTAGTTACACTTCGCACATAGGGGCGGCCCTAAGTTTGGGATTAAATTTCGAAATCGATTGCAGAATTTTTTGTTTTGTACGTTTATAAATTGTCAAATATATCAGGCATATTGCTCGAGTGTATCAATCCTTCCTGTATTCCATAATTTCTCTATAATGTAACTGGAATCACCTGCAAGGCTTTTCTCATACCAAAGGCAATTGAACTACAGTACAGAGTTTGATATGCTTCCATAGTTATTCTTGCTTCATCGCGTACTCTTAACAGCAACAGTCCTCTTTCGCCGCAATTGATTGTTACCTAAGAATCAAGTTAGTGATTACATTTTTCCAATAATTTAAATTACATGCATTTTAGTCTATTTAGTTGGTACGAATATTATGCCCATAATAAATCGGTCATGATTAAATATACCTATATTAGGTACCTGACGAATCAACTCGTCGAAACACTGTGTATATAGTTGCCTGCGTACTGGACAAATACCAGTCTCTCTCGCTTGCCGTTGCTGTAAACGAGTGTCCAGCATCTCTTGAAGGTTTATAACGTCTAGTCGAGTGGCAGGGGTCGAAGAAATCTGAAGAAAAATCTTAAGTTATTTCTGTCTTATACAGACACTAATTTACTTACATCTGATTCTGACTGACTTTCAAAGGTTTTATTGTTTATGGAGCACGCTAAAACGAAAGATTATTTTATAACCTTCTGTGTCCATATCTGTCCATCTTCTTCCCATTCTTTTGGAGGTAAGATTGCGTTCAATATTTCTTCAGTCTCCCGTTTAGCTTCGGTGGGAATGCACGGTTGCGCAGCGGCGACAACACCAGGGGAAACCTAGAAATAGGAGAAAACTATACCTTTGAAACCAAATTATTGTAGATTTTGCATTAAAATAATCGGAATTTTAGCTTCTAGGAATTGAGATTTTAGATTGATCACTTACCGCTTTCTCTGGTTGTTTAGTCACTAACACGGGATTATCATAACGAACTAAAGTTTCTTCGGCGGACACAGGAGTTCTTTCGCCCATTTCGAATCAGGTGTAAGAATTTAGAATATCGTAAGTTTTAGCGACGCTTGTTACAGAAAATGACACACGTACACAAAAATATTTGATACCATGGCAACGTCAATATTGCTAAGCAACTTATAATACTTACCTTCTAAAGGCTAAAGGTTCATGTTATGAAACAAATCGGAAAACAGATCGCAAGCGTATCACCTATCACTGAGCCCAGTCAATCGTACACAAGCACGTTAGTGGAGCGGAGCAGCACCTGCGGTACATCCATTTTTCCATTTGACTACCTAAGGGTACCATACTGATAATGGCAGTCGCTACTCTGCATTCGCACAGTCCACTGCTGCTGCCATGCAGCACAAGGTCTATTCCGATAGTCACTGCCGAGCGATATAATAAGAAATGGGTCTTATCACCAATTGATACGAGACGCTATCCATGGTGGTTAGAGAGAAGGAGAATGATCGCTACTTACTAAAGCATTAGCCCGCCTGACCCTGAAAATTTGTAGAATTTATAGTTCGTTTTTCAGCCACCAGGCGCGCTGCCGTCGGTAAGTAGTATCTGTGAAGTTAGCTGGTTATGAGTACACTTAGACAAAGTTAGTTGAATTTTGTTCGCGGCATTGGTCATTTCCAAGGGCGGATCCAGCTTTGGCGCCAGGGGGGGTCATATAGTCGTGATCAAGTCACAGTGGGTAGGTACAGATTGTGAAGTGGGTACAGATGGACCCAGCCCAGGGGGGGGGGGTCATTACTCCCATGACCATTTTAAATTAGCCCGCTTTTATTGAGAGAACTTAGCGATCGCAGTGCCTCTCTTATTTTGCCCATATTTCTGGGACATTATTTTCTACAGTGATCGTTCTCCTTATCTCTAACCTCCATGTGCCCAACGGTCGCAGGATTCAAACGCCTATATCGTAAACCATGAACGGTCATATATATGTAGGTGCATATCAGACAGGCCGCCAGAATCTTTAGGCAACGCAACGGCGCGCTTTTGGCAAGCCTAGTAGACCTACTCGCTAATGGTTGTTGACAGATAGAAGTGATAATCATCGAGCTATATATTGATCTATGACGGTTTTACTATAACGCCACTTAGATACTAGTCCTGAAAAGCATGTAATGCAATTTACTCTTTTAAAATGTGCGTAACACATTGTAAATGTCAAAAATTTTAGCAATTAGGCCAGCGGGTCCTGTCTGGGTCTGCCGGGGGTAAACGGTGACTTTGGATCCCAGGAAACCAATTCCGGCAGACGAGGGAGCTCTGTTAGGTTTTAGTGGCTAGTTTTACTTTATATTTTAACCGAACGTCCAATTCAGCCAGTCCCATGGGCTAGCCGACTGGGTAGGCGGGATTAAGGGGGAGGAGTTCCACATAACATCGTCCCTCACCCGGAGGCGAGGTATGCGTCACGCATTTCTATAACAAATAAGGTTATCTGGCAGATAACTATCTGCCGACAGTCAATCAGTTTGTAGAAAAGTAAGAGAGTGGACGGCTAGATTATGCCACACTTCAGATAGAGTCGTACATGGCGACACGCCGAAGGAGCGTCAGGACGTGGGCAATTTATTTTCTACACATTGCCTGCTACCGACTTTGGGTTTATATGGATAGGATAGGACTATGATAGGTAGCATTCTATTTAACAAAAGATTCAACTAATCTCATTCAATGAAAATATTCTCTACACACTAAAGTAAAACAAATACATATTTAACTCTCACTTAAAGTTGATTTATTTCTTAAAGTTAAATATTGTTTTCTGTAGTGTTTTTCGATCGATAGCTGTAATCAGTCTTGATAACTTTAGTTTTGAGAAGTTATCTGTAATTTCAGTGCAACTTAGCAAAATACAATTATATTGAACTTATACATAAGTATGTACAGTATATAGGCAGAATTCTTATAGTATTTTTCTTATATTAAGGAGGGATATAACAAGAAAGTACGTGAGTACTGCAAGAAATACCATGAATAAAGATTTTTTATCAGATCTTTTTTTTTCAGTTTACCTACCTACTTTTTGTAATACCCAACGGTTTGTGCTGGCTGAATACATAATATATTTGACTGTTATCATAATAATGTGAAATTGAATGTACACATACAAATAGTTAAATGCAAGTTTTTTAACTTATAACTTTTGTTTACACTATGGCTGCCCAATATTACACTTTCTCACTTAACAACGGTTCTGATCTGAATGAAATCGTCTATTGTTAACACTTTAAAAAACTAGTCCTTATTCATTGAGAATCGCTACTCGAGCTCGAACTGGAGTCTGTAGACATGACTTCGACGTCTTCTTGGGTGTGCGCATCCTTGCCGCGACCGTCGATGGCTACGGAGTTACCTCCACCCACAGACATGTGTAATTCTCCTGATGGATGCCACGTGAACTGGTTGGTTGATGGTGCTGGCACTGAAACAAGTCGTAACGAACCATCTATACATATAATAAAATGGTAGGAAAGTCAAAACTGTACATTGAATATTTTTTTAAAAGAATACTTGGGGTGTGATCCACCTTCGATACCCAAGTCAAAAATATAGCTTTTAGAATTTTTGTGTGTTTGGTTTGTATGTATGTCCTGGATAAACTCAAAAAGTACTGCATGGATTTACTTCAAATTTGGCACAAATATTATTAAGAAGTCTGGTCAACATATAGGCTACATATTATCACGCTATCATCTACAGGGAACGAGCAGTGAACAGGGGTCAAAATGTGTATGTGCAAATAACTAATTCCACGCGTACAGTCGCGGGCGGCCGCTAGTAATGAATAATAACCTAATCACCAATTTATGGTGTAATTTATCACCATTATTCCTGTATTTTATTAAGTATGTTGATTGGCGTAGCTAGAGATTTTTCATAGGGAGGCAGGGATTTTTCCTAGGGGAGCAGACTTCCATTAGACTTTTTTTAAGTAATAAGAGTGACAATCTCTTAAGGATAAGATTCTTTAGAATAACACAGAATGTAAATCCATTCTGTACTCCTTCAGCCCTTTAAATAAAGGAATGAATTTTAATTCATAATGTTGGATGTAATAGAGTGCAAATGACTCAGTCAGTTCAAGTCATCAATTATAAACATTAGAAAAATGTATGACTAATATGACTGACATAATAAAGTGTGCCCAAGCTCTTGAGGAAAATGAATAGGTATGAGAAATGACAACAAGCTAGGGATTTATTAAATACCTGAAGCTTAATGTTGAAAAGAATATAAACTTTATGAATATGATTAATACACAAACAAACTGTACCTCCGCCTGTTGTGATTCGATGTAGTTCGTTGAGTGTGGATGGAGTGTGTCCATTGTTAACAGGCAGGTCACTAAGACGGCCTATCATCCCTAGTCGCATTTCGAGATCAGTTGGGTATGGTCGTCGAGGATCACCGGGCTGCCATGACAGAGGTGCACTGACAGCATTTGAAGCACTTATTCTGGGGGAAAGCAAAAAAAGGTGAGTTTAAAATTAATAAAGTGTTAGTGTAAAAATACAAAACATAAGACTTGATGGATTTTCTATAAATAATACTCAAATATAAGTAATTAATCTTAGGATAATATTATCTGGTACATTATTATAGTGGGCTTAGTTTTCCAAGACTGATTATTATCCTTACCTGTGAGCAAATTTAATTAACTCTTCTGAAGAAACTGGTCTCTTTCTGGATTTCACAATAGATGCGAGTTTCTGCCTAGCTTGATACAAAGATGTTGCAAGTATTTGTTCTGCATCTTTCAACTGCCTTTGTAAATGATGAATGTCTTGGTCCTTAAAATTTTAAACACATTTAAATTAGCTTACTTTCGAAATATTTACAAAGGTTGTTATAAAATTAATTACTTACTGAATCTTATCAAGAAAATAAAAATTTATAAATAAAATAAAATAACAATACAACTAAAATCAACATTCTCTAATTAATTTATACAACAGATAGTATTTATGACTTCAAATCAACAGTGGAAAAGCAAAATCTCTTTAATACCACTTCGGTGCTGTTTAAACACTAATAATAAGAGCGAAGAGCAGATGTGAGCTAAGAGACATTTGAGAAATAGGTACATGAAAAAACTGTTCCTGCTGTACTTTATCAAATACCATGCAATAGGGGCAACAGTAGCGAACTCTGAAAATTCGTATAAAAGTTGGATAATTCAAGATTTTGCTCTTGATGATTTCCTCCTTAAAAAATTAGATATATGTTAAAGATTTTTTTCCATAAAATAAAAATAGTTATTTTTGGCATTTTTGAGGGCTTCTAGTTTCTTTATATTTTATGTATGAAAAATCATTTCTTTAGTGATCAAAATCACGGGACGGGAGGATCAGTCCAGAACGTTTGTATGGAAATAACATTGCCCGCCTGCCTTCTTAACGTAAAAACTGAAAAAGTTAATTTTTAAGCAACGCCATAGTGGCGTACTTACGCGATATTGCTTAACCACTGTCGAAATGTAAATTAAATTTTACGGCTTCTATAAATTTTGCAGCTAGTGGTTTCATATTCATTTTTGTAATAAGAGTAGCCATTGCTCGATAATTTCAAACAGATTGTATATGTACCTTGTTATCGACTTCAGCTTTAAGTTCATTCATCTTCTGTTGAATCTTAGCTTGTTCTTCAGCAAGTTCTAATGTTTTCTTAAGTTCCACGTCTTTTGCTAGCAACAAATCTGTCAACTGTGCATGGTCGGCAGCTGATAGTTTTTGTGATTTGGGTGCAATAGATACTTCTATAATTTCTCTGTAACATAACGTAAATGTTATTCCCTATAAGACATTGTTATTTAATTGAGATAAAAGTGAACTTACTTTGCTATTAGCTCTATGTCATCGATGAGAGAAAGTAAACGATCTTTGGTGCTTAGATGCGAGGCCATTGTTTTAGTAAGAACAATTTTTCAAGTAGGTTTTTTAATTGATAAATGTATACTTTGATGTAACAGAATTAAAAATGCTACAGACCAACAATTAACACATAATTTGCAAAAATTAGATTTATTCTGTCGACCGACAAACGAATCAATAAACAAATGATTGATTGGATTGACTGACGTACGCACGCACGCATATTGACATTTTGTATTGTTTTTTTTAATTTATTGGCAATGACATTTTGTATTGATACTGATAGTGTTGCCATCTCACAGAGTATAAATTCAGTCACTATAATAATTATTGTCGTAATGTTAAAAATCGCTAAGGGGTATAATTATTACAAAGTTAAACTGTTTTTATTTTATAGCTAAATTATACATATACCAAAAAGACATACCAATTGAAGGAACAAAATTATTAAATAACCTTTATATTTATTTTTTATCTCTTCACGCACGCCATTGTTTAATAAAAAAATATACAAGATTAAGAGCGTGTTTTTATTACTTTACAATTATTCATAACTTTTCGCACCCTTTAGGTGCAGATGCAAAAAGGGAAAGACCCTTTTTACCATTTTGATATTGATAGGCTCTGGTTTAAATGATTACCAAAAAATATAACTGCCAACCTGACTTAATTGGTAATAATTTACTGTTTTATTGTTGTAAATTTAAATGTTTTCAATATTTAATTAGGTATTTTTATAGCTAAAATATATTTCGGCATGTTCGATATAAAGATCGGAAAATCCCATAAAATGAAAGTATTATATAGCCATTAGTAGCCAAAGGACACGGTTCAAATTTGTATTGTGGGTAGTAGTCAGTCTTCGGTAGACTCCAAATCTTTGACTGATTGACATTTTACAGTGATTGAGTTAATAAACTGCTACAGACTAAATATATGACGTTAATTATGCTAGGGTGACCAGCATTTTTTCGAAATTGTTAAATATTCAAACACGATTTAAAAGAAATCGAAAATAAATAAAAAAATATAAATATATGTTCATGTTATTACATAAAACAAGCTTTCAAATGATATATGTTTCATCGCTGCCGGAAACTGACCACCACTTTCGTACCGTCTCCTTTTTCAAAACGAAAAATTCTAAGTCTACACTTTCTCTAATGATCACGAGGTACTAGGTATTATATCGACAAAAAAGTTCATGAATTCTCTGTGTATTGTTTGCCAACTGCTCCCCATCATTTAGGCAAAAAAAATGATGTGGTGTCGTGGGACACCAGGTAGGAACGAAATTCCTTCGGCTAATGTAGAATCGACACAAATTGCAAACTCGCTTGTGTATGGGACTGTCGCGCCTGCGCACGTCTTATTTAATGGTTTTATTCCACGCACTTTTTTCCACGGATTTTTTCTTACGGTTTTACTATCACATTTTTTTCAGTTCGGTCAGCTAATGTTCGTAATGACTGCTAGGAAGGACTGGCCCACAGTTTATAATAAACTACAATGTCACAATAATCCAGTAATGCAGCCCCGTCACTCTGCCACCCCCCTGGACTTAACCACAGTTGTAATCATAATCATGTCTCACAGGCGTTACTGGTCCACAGCTTGATATAACTTCACAAATATCCAGTGTTGGTGTAATATCACAATATTTCAGTGATGCACCCTCGTCGCTCTACCACCCCCTATAACATCACACATATTCAGTGTTGGTGTAATATAACAATATTTCAGTGATGCACCCTCGTCGCTCTACCACCCCCTATAACTTCACACATATTCAGTGTTGGTGTAATATAACAATATTTCAGTGATGCACCCTCGTCGCTCTACCACCCCCTATAACTTCACACATATTCAGTGTTGGTGTAATATAACAATATTTCAGTGATGCACCCTCGTCGCTCTACCACCCGCTATAACTTCACAGTTCACACATATTCACTGTTGGTGTAGTATCACAATATTTCAGTGATGCACCCTCGCCTGCACTTCGTTCCAATTAAGAAAAAAAGTTTGTTTTCACCATCTAAAATTGATTTCCAGTGACAACAATAGGATTGGGTAGCGGTGAAGCCATTGTTTATGTAAGTAATTTATAATCTCTCTTTCTCCTTTCTTGGAAATCAAAGATATTGCATTGACTTTTCAGATAGGAAAGATTGACTCTGATTGACTTAATATTGACATAGGCATGACAAGACGTTTAACTTTTTATATTTCTGCAAAAGAAACTATTAACAGCCTTGTTTATTATTTTTAATGTTATGTGTAAGTTTCTTCGTCAACTTTCACGGTAATATACCTGTAAAATATTATGCCATAGACGCAATACATTCAGTTAATTTTTAAACCAAATCTCAGGAGAAGTCATTTCAAGTTGAAGCCCATGCACGACTTTTTGACAGCTCCGTAAATATAGTAATCGTCAAATTTTGTATGTTAAGCTAAGTTTTCATAGAATCTTTGACGATGTTATAAATAACGGAGTTGACAGAAACTCATGCTTGGACATTTGTACCTCACCGCTCTAGACTAATGTCTGCGTTTTTTTAAATACCTAATATTCAACTTAATAAAGCTATATGGTCCTAAAACTTATTACGAGTTAAATTATTATTTTCCACCTGTAAAGTTTTGACTTGGTGCTTGATCTTTAATGTGATAAATATGTGGAGAAACTTCTCTAAGGACGTTTAAATATTTTTTTAGGCATTTCTTAATCTTTGGTCGAAAGGCACAAAAACTAGTAGGAATGAATATGAATCGTACCTACCTAAGACTTTTTTTTCCATCGCAATGCAATTTATTTTACATATTGAATGCCAAGTTGATGTTTAGCTAAGCCCTAATTAGTATCCTAAGTAGCCACACGTAATAGGTACCACAAAAAATAATACAACTGCTTATTAATAAACTTAGGAAGGTATAAAAACTCTCGTGAGGCAATGCACGGACGTAATTTATATCTATTTTTGTTTGGCAGGTTTGTAAGTAATTCTAGTTTCATCACAAGGTAAATATTAAAGGTCGCGCCATGTTATGGCTGTTTTAGCATAAACATTCGACTGTGTTGTGTTCGCAAACCGGCTTAAATTCACGCTACCACTGCGTGATCAGCTGGCGGCCGAGGAGTGAGGAGGAGGGGAGCGGAGGACCATGCACTGAGCATGCGTTCACCACGTGCTCACGGGCTCAAAGTTGCCACAGGATAATAAAGAACGCAGATTATTCATTCCATTCTAAGTATTTGTATTAGTCAACTTTCTTAACCGTCAAATTCAATCACTGCCTGCCAACTTAATTACTTATTCTACTCGTCCTTCATACCATTTTAGATGTTTGTACGATTATCCCACTTTGTAGGCTAATAATTGTATTCATTTTTGAAGTTATATTTCTTTAGGCGCGTTATGAAAAAATGATGAGAGTGAAACTTTAAGATGCGCGCGCATCACTGTAACACAAAAAATTAACAGCATGAAGTTGGTCGCTGTAGCGCTTTAGCGACCAAATTCATGCTGTTACTTTTGTGTTTACCGCACATTAAGAAAATCTACCAACAGAATAGAAATAGAATCTCTATTTAGTGAGTGCTAACGACTGCATTGTGAAGGCCTATCAAAAGTATTTATTAATCTGGAACAACGGAACCAAAGCGCGATTCAGGAGACTACAGCGCCATCTCTTGACCATTGGTGTAGTAGAACCAAAACCACATCTTTATTTTTTGTAATAAAGTAACAGTTATAGGTATTCATATTTATAATATCAAAAGTATTTATTAATCTGGAACAACGGAACCAAAGCGCGATTCAGGAGACTACAGCGCCATCTCTTGACCATTGGTGTAGTAGAACCAAAAACCACATCTTTATTTTTTGTAATAAAGTAACAGTTATAGGTATTCATATTTATAATATTTATCCACATGTTTCTAGTTTGTATATTCGGAATACGTATTTGAGTTTCATACAAGTGCAAATCACATATGTTCTAATAAATTATATTCAGTAGCGATTTTAATTGAATATTTTGATTATTTATTTATTTTTTCAAATTAAAACTGAACTAATAAAGTTCAGTTAAACTGTGTCCTTTTCCAGACTTTTTATTAATTTATTGTAATTAATTATTTGCATGCAATTAAAAACTAATTTTAAACGGTGCCAAAGAAGGTTAACTTCTCACGCGCCTACATAAGTACACGCACCCATTTTTGCACATGAGGTAAGAATAATTTTCTTTCTCATCCCCAATTATAAAAGTGATCGCGGTAAGCAAAAAATTTGGAATTTAGCCCCTGGACTAGGATTAAAAGGAAAAATATTCATACTAATGCACCAGCTGCAAACTTTTCAGTTAGTGAAAGATTATCAACGCTCAGGATACGTTTACTGACTATTTACTCAGTCGTTTAATCTATACAGATAAGACTTGGTGTTTTCTATTTCACTAGGCTATGGCGCAGGTTTCTTTTTTTCACGCCTATAGTCGAGGCGAATGCTGCGGCGGGTGAGGGGGCGGGGAGAGCGGCGCAATGTGCCTCGCCTAGCTGGTTTCGATCGTCTGCTGCTAACTTTGGCCGTATAATCGAGTTCCAGTCAGCATTGGGCAGTCGAGGTGTTACTGGCTCCTTTGCCAATCTAATGGAACAGCGTTTCTTCGAGCAAGTGTCGTCTGCAATCGTGTTAAACAAATCAAACATTCGCCATAAACGCGACAACTGTCGTAAACAACAAATCCTGCTCCTGTTATTATGTTGTTTAAACGGATCATTGAAGGAAAGTCCATGTTGAACGCTGACGCGAAGAGTAAATCGCAGGAGAAATGTTCTAGAAGGAAGTCGGAATGCGAGGGCTGTGGCGAACATTCCACGTAAGTCTATTGTTTTCATATGGGATGGGAACAATACATGCATTCGAATTTCCAGCTCGTTACGATTTGGCCCTAAACATTCTCTTGGTGAAATAATATTAGATAACGATAATGTCACAAATCAAAACAATAACATTGGTGTTTTGTTTGCAAACAAATGACTTAGGTAGTTACAAACTACCTATTCCAGATGTTAGTGTGTTCTTATTATTTTAAACTATAAGCTAAGCATGGGATTAACAATGATTTAATTTCTTGTATTTAAAGTATCATTGTTTGATATTACATTCTACAATGAATCATCAGACATCTGAGTACCAGACTATTAGCTTTTGAAGTACGTACCCACTTATTTACCTAACTATATTGTAGGGTGATAGGTACTCATGTTGAAACCTTCTAATCATAATACATAAAAGCCAACTAATTATTTACACAAGTATGGAAATAAGAATATTTTGATAATAATTTCGACTACAGATGATTATCAAATCTGAAAAACATACCTAGTTAATTTCTCTTTATAAATAAGCTCGACGCCTAACTTGTCTCAAGAGGCAACATTGACGAAGACTGATTTGGGAGAGCGATAGTGGTTGGAATTACCTTAGGTTTAAGGAATAGATAGTCAACATGTCTTATGTCCCCACTGCTGAGGCATAGAGATTCCATATGAATGGAATGGGGAGAACGGTTCATCCTCTATCAGCAAGCCACCAGGCTCAGTCAAGCATGTATGACCCTACATGCAAGCCACTACGGATTGGTAGATGCTAACGACTGCAGATGCAGCCGAGACCAAAGGCTTGACGTATTTACTTTCCGAAGTACGGAGGAACTTGAGATTGTAAAATTCTGGTCGCCCATCCTATGACCGGCAAAAGGTTACTGACCGAAATCGCTAGCCACTGCTCCATCGAGTTCCTCAAAACAACTTATAGGTACTAAGATTAAAAACGAAAAAATATGTTGTACCTAGTATCAAATCGCAGGTACTTCCAAGCTATATTTATGTGTCAACAGTGGGAGCCCTTCCCTTGATGGTCAATACACCAACGCCCTTAACCAACCCTTTATGGGATCGATCGCGACTTCAACTACATAGAACAATTGGTGTCCGTATAAACGTTCAATCAACTGTTCCCATCTTTTAAGTTACATTTAAAGTCAAAAGCCCCATTATATCTACACACATCAAAAGTGTCTAGGGATCAAGCATTTTTATGCGGATTTCTTGAGATTGAGATGTGGCTTTGTAATAAATTTATGATTTTATAAATTTATATGGATCCTTTTTGGTGCATTTCATAATTTGAATCAGGAACTGTGAATCAAATTCGAGTAAAAGATGAAAATCAGCTGTCAATATTTTCCCTATAAAAACATACAACGCATTGAAGACATTATTAGTGCTACTGTTTCCCTACTACTGATTAAAACCAACGTTATTATGGAGCGGCGACGTCATTTAAGCAGGGAAGAAATGCTCAGAGCCGTGGGAATGATAGAAGCTGGTTCCCGGCAACGTACTGTGGCTTTAGCTCTGAATACAAGTCAGAGTGTTATCAGTCGACTTTGGACACGATACCGAAGCACTGGTACCGTGGCTGAGCGCCATGGAGGACGGTATCGCTGCACCACACGGAGACAAGACCGATACATTCAAATCTTAACTCGAAGAGCTCCAACAATAACCGCCATGATGTTAGCCGTGAGGCTTCATCACTCTTCAGGGAACTTAATTAGCGACCAAACAGTCAGAAACCGCTTGCATGAAGTGAACCTTCATTCCCGAAGACCGCTACGGGTACCACCTATAGCAATGCACAATCGTAGGATTCGATATCAATGGGCTCTTGAACACAGAAATTGGGCAGAAGAACAATGGCGTTTCGTGTGCTTTTCTGATGAGTCTCGTTTTGGTATGAGACCGGATACAAGACGTATACGACACTGGAGAACCCCTGGACGCCAACAGCGATTAAAATCCTGCCAGGAAGTCCATCCTTATAGTGGTGGAACCATCATGGTATGGGCGGGTATTTGGATCGGCGGAAGAACTGAGTTGATTTGAATCAGAGGCAACCTCAACGCTCAAATTTATGCTGAGACGATTGTATCAGACGTCATCGTTCCTCTACAAGTGCAAATCGGTCCCTTATTTCAGTTAATGCATGATAATGCACGACCGCACACCGCAAGAGTTGTAAGACAGACTCTCGCCGCAGCTAACATCAATGTCCTGCCCTGGCCTGCTCAGTCGCCAGACTTGAACCCGATTGAGCATGCATGGGATATGCTACAGAGAAGAGCTCTGCCGAATATGGAGGGTATCCAGTCGCAAGAAGACCTTTTTTGTTGTTGCAACGAACATGGGCGGCCATGCCACAGCGTGATTTGGATGAACTCATTTTGAGTATGCCAAACCGATGTTCTTGTGTTGTTAGTGTTCGCGGTAGAAATACGGATTAATAATTGTTTAAGTTACCCAATAAAATTTTAGAGAAAACTGTTATTTCAGTCTTTTTTTCGAACTTTTGTGTTAGTGGTTCAAATGTCAAAAATCCCTTTATTAGGAAAATGGCAAATTTCTTTATTAATGCAAAGGTGACTTGGTTTATCGTTACTGTGACAAACGAAAACACTTTATTTGATGAATCCTTAAAGAAAATTTTAATTAATATCAATCAGGAGAAAAGTTATTGCAAAAATATATGTTGATCCCTAGACACTTTTGATGTGTGTATTTGACTTTAAACAACTGACAAAGGTAGTATGATTAAGTAAGAATGATGGTGCAAGTGAGCCTAAGTATGTTTCTCTTTCCAAGTTTCTTACCCTTCATCTTCGTAGCAAAACTCTTCGGAATCGCTCTAACGGTTTGGTTGGCGGAGAGTGTAACATAGTGTGGACATAGACCAATAATATTGATCCTTGGTATGGATAAAACTTGAGATGAGGAGGAGAGATGAGCCTGGGACGGTTACTATATCTTCAAAATTACAAAAGCCAGACCTGGCACTGAGTAAGACCGGAATATTGTCAATATAAGCCGGGTATTATCTTCTATTTTTTTTATCGTAGTAGTCTGGAAGTCTGGAAGACCTACCGAAAGCCGGACGCAAAGGTCAGACACATAAGTAAATATTTGTCCGGAGACGACAGGAAAAAGCAAACCCATGAAAGTTCAAATAGAAAATAACATAGACGTGGCCTTCTTGTACCTACTACTTATTAGGTAACAAAAATATTCCGATGCTTTTTTAGATTTTAATATCCTTTATTCTTTTGCTTGGCAAGGTTGCCAATATTAGTATTCAAATCCCCGCTATTATCATCAGTAATTCTACAGCGCTAGTTTTAACCGTTTGGCGCACTAGAAGTTTCGACTTTGATTGCTGATACAGTATGCCATCGTCGATTCAATTTTGATTTTGCATTGACACAAACTTACATCGAATCTAATTACATAAAAGGATTTCATTAATTAGAAAAAAAAATTAAGAGAGGGCAAAGCGGATTTTCCGTTGAGATCAAATCGCCCCTCTGGGAAGCTCGTCCAATTAGAAACAGAAGCCCGGGGTGAAAAACAAAAACACCATCTTAGGTAGAATTACGCACGCGAATGTCGGACTTGACGGCAACATCGAATAAAATTATAATATTATTCTGTCTACCAATACAACTGTATGAAGTACAATTATGAATGCAGCTGGTGCATCAGAGATACGTCGGTCGTGCAAAGTTAAACACACTTACCTCACCAGTCTGTACCACCAGTTTCCTCATTCATACACGAAGGTTCATAACATTTTGGATGCCAAGAATAGAATAATAGAAATCACCAATTTTGCTTTTCCCTTATTGATCATAAAAGCCTAGCAACGGACAAGGTAATTGAACGGGTTAGGCAACTAAACATTTGCTATCAATTACCAAAAACAAAATCTGGCTATGGGTATGATGTTTTAACATACAGATACTTATCTTCCATTCATTATTGATACTTTGCCATAATTGCCAAACCTAACCCCACATAAAATGTAAAAAAAGTACGTACTGGATTATAAAGTATGTAAAAGAAGTGGCATAGAGTGAGTCTAGTCGCCTTTTAAGCATAATATTAGGCAGGTGGAGGATTGACGGTCTATAACTACTTATATATTCTTAATAACAAAATGAGAAAAGTAGCAATCTAACCCAAGCAGAAATACCAGTACTAACGTGTTACCTCTTTTTCTATTTTCTGTACAACGCCAACCTGATTTCTATTTAGAAGTAGGCGCTAACACCAGAGATACACTTCTCGACTACTGCAGGTATTAACGCAATTTTATTGTGAACTTAGTTGAGATAAATATTTTTCTTTACAATAAGAATTGATTCATTGATAAGAGTCTGCTATTATGTTTACTTAATTTTGGATTTCTATCTAAAAATGACTTAATAGTTATAAAAAATAAGTAGGTACTTGTCAATATTGTAGATTTTGTTTTCACGAGATTTCCAATTTTATTCTGTTATTCGCTTAGAACATCGGGTCATTGATCTTTAGCGAAAAATAACATTTATTTAGCTTGGCGATGATGTGTAAAGTGAGACTACGCTAACTAACCGGTTTTTTTATACTCAAGTAAAAAAAAACGTTAAAAGGCAAAAGAGTTAGGTAGATTCTCTAATGTAAGCTAAATCACCGTACGGGTAAAACATCGTCTCTAAGCGTAATCTTAATCGGGTATGTCAAGTTATTTTATCTAAGAGAACCATTAACAGTGGTGACATAATAACCTTAATGTTTTGGGCGATTTAAAAAAGTTCAGATGGAGCTAAACAAATTCATAACGATATTTTTATTAACGATAGTTTAGTTAATTAGTTCTTCCGCAATATCATGCTAATTACAAGCACTACCTTACCTACTTTACTTTAGTCTGTTACCGATAGCGTTATATTAGTCTATTAAATATTTCAACTTGAATCTAGCATTTCCACTCTTAGCTTTTCTAAAATATGTCTACTAACTACTGTAATAACTGAAGTATACCTAGTAAAGGCCAATTGACTCGTGTAGGTAAGTATTAGCTGTTATTATATCTTCGGATTTAAGTACTTACCTACATCCGTAACAAGAACATTTATTGCCCATTAGTTAAGATATTCTTATCATGAATCCGGGGGCTCGTCTCAATTATTCTATTCAGGGAATGACGAAAACATTGTTGTTGGCTCGAGTATGATACTTCACTTCCAGTGTACTTACATAGTGGCCGATAAACTATCTGAGGTTAGGACTGATACCCTCTGGTGAAGAGCTTCTCAATAAAACTGTTTACTGACACAATTGCCGATCAGTCTCAATTACAACTTCACAAATAAAACTTGTCCAATGTTTAGTTCGTCTCTTTGTCAACGGTGGGTTTTCCGGTTCTAGAATGTAAATGTAAAAATTATTCTAATGCCAAGTTTCTTTACTGATTTGCTACCGTTCTTGTTACAGCATTCTCGAAGAAATGATGAAAATGATATTGCTTGGTGTGGTGTTATGGGCGGGAGTGACTTTTGGAAGCGCCGTCGCACCCTACCCGTTGAATTTGATAATCACCAGTGGTATGTGTTACGATACTTGAATACTAATAATGTAAAGTAAATATGTTGGCGTGTCAAGAATATTGAAAGAGCAATATTTATTTTTCAGACATAATTCACCCGCCACCGATGTATGATTTCCCGTTTCCAAGTGCCGAAAATCTGAGAAGGTTACCGCCTGTAACCGCGGTGCACACTAATAGATCTATAAATTTCAGTAAACTTAGCGTTTATATGCTCGAGCGCTTGGAATCAAATCTGCAGTCAGCTGGCATCAAACCAGAGACGGGATCTGCAGCTCTGGGATTAGCTATTTACGGATATCCCTCTGATGATGCCATGCACTATGAGGAGTCGTCCATGATCGTGACTAAGGCATCGCAAAATTTAGTACACACCCGATGTGGAAGGTGAGATTTTGATGTATTTGAACATATTCTTCTGCCAATCCAAGACTAGTACTCGAAGCCAAGAGGACTAATCTCGGACTGAACAAACATGAATAACAATAAAATAAAGGTAAGTGACGAAGCAGCTAGTCTTAACAGAAAGTGGTTTATCTGTTTAGATATGGTTTGGCGAATGATGAGTGTGCAAGTTTCATCAGCACCTTGAACTTGCGTGAGAGTGAGTATGGGGGCGAGTGTGCGACTCTTGAGCGGTTTACGTGTCGGAGCAACAAGATGTCCTCGCGGTACCGGACCTTCGATGGCTCGTGCAACAACCCAGTGAGGTCCTCTTGGGGCCAAGCTCTCACCGGCTACAAGAGACTCTTGCACCCGAGATACGCCGATGGCATCGAAGAGGTTTGTGATTTTGTTTCGTTTATACCTTTATCTTCAACCATATGAAAGATTTATAGACCATTGTTAAATTGATAATGCGTATAATATAAAATTTCAACGATTTTCACAGCGTAACATCAACTGTATAAATATTTTCAATGAAATAATCGACTCAACAATTGATCGCAATTATGTAAAACTTTGTAAAGATACTGAAATCTACAATAATGTTACAGCCACGACGTTCATTGAGTCACAACGCTTTGCCATCTGCGAGATCAGTCAGCACCAAATTGGGGAATAATCTGGATAAGCTCGATGAGAAGAAGACTATCGCATTAGCAGTGTGGGGTCAGTTTATACATCACGACTTGGTTCATACGCCAGTTCGGAAGACCAGTGAGTTAAACGCAATATATTAGTATCTATTTAGAGGTGTAACATAACAAAGAAATAGGCTTGTTATTAAGCGATAAAAAGTCAATAAGAATTTTATTCCCTATAACGCAATGCTTACATAATACTGAATTAATACATTCGAAGATTGAATGCTTGATATTTTACCACTTTACGTTTATGAGTTTAGATTGAATATTCTGGAACAATAGCAAAAAATATATGTTGTGAGAGCATTTTCCAATAGACTAATATTATGACTTCTTAATGCGATACAATTATCAGGAACTGAAACTAGACCCAGCGGATCAAGGTGCAATCATACAGCTTCGTGTATTGCGTGAGCGCAACTTACCTTAAGCCCAAAGTTCAACTCCGCAGTCTAACAAGTTTACATTTCATTTCGATCTTTTAAGTCCACTCTCTCGCGAGAAAGCGAGAAAAACATGTGAAAGTGAATGTGGTGCCGATTCTAATTTTCTTCTTGACTTTTCATTTGTTGTTCTCGGCTTTGTTCTAAGAATTTTGTGAGTTTTTTGGGGCGAGAACGCAAGAACAGACGAAAACTTATAACTGAGTGTCGCGAGATTATCACTTGAAATGTGGAGCGGGTTTTTAAGTTGGAATTCTCTTTGTCACCAGTTCACACAAACCAGGCGATTCGCTGCTGTGACAGCACCGGGTTCCAACTGTCGCCTCGCTACATTCACCCGAGTTGCATGCCGATATCGGTACCTGACGACGATCCCTTCTACAAGGGAAAATATGTTACCTGCATGGAGTACACTCGGTCTGTCACCACCTATAGAGGAGACTGCACATTCGGAGCTTCGGAACAGGTATGTAATTTCATTGTTATTAGTAGAAACTTTGATATCAGCATTATGGAATTCACAATTTATTTTAAGTATAGGTATATATTCGTACAGAAAAAAGTTCTAGTTTGAGCTTGATAAATATTCTTCTTCAAATCTAGCAATTTTTTTTTGCTGTAGAACATCACGATAGCGATATAAAATCCTGTTAGGAGACTGATAAAATTCGTAAATATTGATATCCAACCATATATTGAGCATCATCAGTTTTACAGAGAACCTATCTAGCTTAAGTTTTTTTACAAAAACATGTTTTCAATTGTTGATTACTGAAAAGAAATAAATAGATTCTAATTGCAGAAACCGCTTCGCACAACGAACATACATTTATTATCATTACATTAGGTTATAAATGGAACAACGATACAGACAGACAAAGGCTTATCTAACCTAGGGTTGTACTGTTAAAATCGATTATCGAAGTATCGTGAACTGCGTCGTTCTGTGTCGTAGAGTAGGACTCTACGACACTAAAAACCAGTAAGTTGAAGTAGGACGGATGACGATGAATATCACGACATAGAAACGTTGTTGTTTGTGTTTCATTTATCAAACTATACTTCGTTATATGCTTCTCCTATAGCTCATTGATTATTCATTTCCTTGAATGTCAATATACCTAATAGATCTCGTGATCTGAATCATTGCTTGAAAAACGTTCAAGGCAATTAAAACATGATGTTGTACCGTGATCGCTGTGTATTGGACTTGGGAATTTGTAATAATATATTGCGCTGTTTTACATAGAATTTAAATTTTAATAATCATCCTACGATTAATCATCCATAAGAATTTTGAGTAAGCAGTTAGGTAGTAGGTACTTACCAATACGCGACAAGTTTCTTTAGGAAAACCTTTTTCTGATACAGAAGGGGAAAAAGTATAGCTTTGTTTCACGTGCAAGCATTATCAATATTATTTTTATTCATATTTCGTAATCAGTTGGTTTGATTGTTTGCCACTGTATATACATATGAATTGAGTCTCTGGAAGAAAATAACATTTCCATAACTCAAAACAAATATGTAATTGACCAAATCATGCTAAATGACTTTTCAATTCTTGCCAGACTTCGTCAATAAATTTTTATTAAAATCTATTCAGCTAATTTATTTTTAGTGTACCTCTACATACAGATCTTTTGTATCTTTTTATTTATAGATAGCGACTATTTTATGAATTTGATTTAGTGAGAATTAAAGTGTTAGGTAATTGAACATATGTATTGTAAATACTTGGATCGGTGACATTGTACTTGGATTAGGTAACCTGAAATATAGGTTTTGTTTAAGGAATCGAAGTGAATAGGTCTTCTATTTCCTAATATTATAAAACTAAAGTCAAAACAGGTTAACTAGCTAATATTCACAGTAATTACTCATTGATATTAAAATCGTCATCTTCAACCTTAATAGGGAAAGGGAGAAATGGCCCCCACTGAATAGGAAGATCATAACCATAACCGTCCATGAGCGCCCAGTGTGGATTATTGGGTGTAACGAATGCAAGTGCAGCCGGGCCCAAAGGGCTTAGATGTTTTGGGCTTTTCTGGATTCCGGAGCACGGAGGAGCTCGGGATAGTAAAGTTTTGGCCTCCCATCTTAATCTTAAACCAAACGGGTTCTTCCTAACCTCATTATTTTGAATCCGAAGCAAATACTTTGGTTATTAGAAACTATTCGATATTAATGAATATTTGAATGTGGACATTGTGGACATTACATTTAAATACTTCATGTATTTAAAATCGTAAATGACATCCTATGATACAATATGGTAAATATGAGCATCTCCTTGAAACCCAGTTTTCTGAATTTAGCGGTCGGATAAACCTTGAAGTTGTTTAAAACATACGCGGTATCAAAAAGATCTCAAGGGTTTTGTTCGCGGTCAAAGATCCGGTTTAAATTAAGCTTGTTGTGAACAATTGTGCAACGGTTGTTGTTTGTTATATTCGAGTCGAGTACCTACCTAAGTATTTGTGTTGCGCAGTTGCATAACACATTCATAGGGCTATTGACTCATGGTGGATATTAACCCTAAGTACTCAGATATTACCTATGTTATATATATATATAGTATGTTTTTTCAACGCGTTTCTTGTGTTCATGATATAATTAAGACCCCAAGTTATAATAAAGTATCGCAGTTTATTTTTGATTATTTCTATCGCTCTCTTTAGGCTCTAGCGAAAACTCATCTTCTGATTTTTACGGCTTAAATTGTTGACAAGTAATTGTAATCAGATACGAAAATTCACAGGTGGTCGATTAATTTCAACAGTTGAAAATTATATTTTTGAAATTTTATAATTAACTAAAAATCCTTTTCTAAATACAGGAGTTTGAAATTGTGATTATCAGTCATATGACCAGAGAAAGTGTTTACAATGATAAATTAATAGTCTTATGTTATCTAGATTGCATTATGTAATTTATTAATAGTTAATATTAATTAATATTGCGATATGACATTGAATTCAACGCTGCATTTAAAAGATTTTCCTATTTCATTTACAAAGTATTATTTTCCTTAACACATCGCAATTTTTCTAAATTAGTTATTGTTTGTTAAAAAATTTACAAGATAAGCGCTGTGGCCTTATCTCTAACTGTTTATATTAACACAATTTTAGTTTTGGGGTCTCTATACTAATTCTGCAAATAATTTTCTAGGCATTAAAACAATCATCCTAATCTTGCCATGAGAAATGCGAAAAGAAAATATGAAAAACGATTAATGTTACCATTATAAACTTACTTGCTAATGTAGCCACGTAATTTTGGTTTCTTTTATTTTTAACTTATAAATTGCGTTACGTAACAAAAAATCGGCGCAAAAATAAGCACTTTGTCATTGAAGTCAATGTGTTGTTTCGTTAACCTTGATAGCTTGCTTGCTTTGTGGCGTTCCTTCCTTGTATTACAATTTACACGTGGCATCATCGTGTTAGTGTAAGTGAAATACAAATATGTACAGATAACTTCTAAAGAACATAATGTCCTAATTACCTTAGTGGTCAAGGCACGTGTAAAACCACAGTAATGAGTATTTTTAAATGTGTGTAAAACTATTTTGATTCTAAAAGCAACGTCTGCATTTAAAAGCTCTGTGATTCAGTGCCTGTTCAGAATTGGGGCTTTTTAATTATTACATAACAATACAGTAACCTTTTGTGTTAGGTATTAATTTTTAAAAAGATACTAGTAGACCAAAATTACGGTTTGGTGGTAGAAGGGTGACAATTTATGGTCGTTTGTTTTTTTAATGCCGAATCCAAAAAATAATAATGTTCAAGTAATTAGGTGCGGTCCACCCTTATCACTTAGGGGTATGAATAATAGTTATTACCGTCCCGTTCTTAAACCTACTGAATATACACACAAAATTTCATGCGAATCGGTTAAACCGTTTCGGAGGAGTTTTGTTACAAATACTGTGAAACGAGAATTTTATATCTTAGATCTGATTACTAATGAAAGTAGAGTAGCTCTACATTGAAAATAATACAGTATATTGTAAAGAGTAAACTTATCATATTTATAAGTAGTTATGATTGTAATATTTATAAGAAGTAGTAGTTTTTGCTGTTGTTAAATTTTTATCAACACAGAAGCAAAATTAATTACTTAAGCACCTACAAATCACTCTTTTAGGTACTATTAACTTAAGTAAGTAGTTTATCTTCTAACCTAAAGTTATCAAAACCATATATATGTGATATTTGAATTATAATATTGAACCTGTTAAAATGGTAATGATATTATGCTTCTAATTACAGTTATTAATTTGAAGAGAGACAAAAAAGCTTAGTGGAGCCTGTTGATTTCTTCTTACGGCATAAACCCCCTTATTAATAAACTACGCATGGATTAGTTACTCCATGTTTTGTCTCTGTCTATTGAATGACAAATGGCATTTGAGTGACATGAACAAAACGCGGCGTAACTAGTCTAAGCTTATTCCTTGTTTATTAATAAGGGGAAAGAGTTTCAGTATCAAGTAATGCTGAAACTTTATTATCTATTAATAAAGTTGCCTTGGTTTAACAAAAAGTTCATCTGCTAACAATTCAGACATCGCTATTACTATCACACAACACAACCCACGTTTTTCGGCGCATCGAGCTGACGAACATAACACATAAAAGAAAGTTTTACTACGTATAAGACAATAATTAGTTTCAAAGTTGCTTGCCTGTTTCAAACCTTGATTTCCCTATTATGTTGGTGATGTTATTGTTAATTATAATTAAATAACAAATAGGTTGATAATTTTCTAATGCTGTATCTATGTTGGTATATTCAATAAAATCTACCTACGTGACTTTGTGAATGTAAGCGGTTCTATCTAGTGGAAATTTTCCAACAGATTTTTACGTTATAAAAGAAACTGTTGATGTTTTAAAGATTTTATAAGAATAATGTATCTATCTATCGACCACTATATCTGGAGCATGTGATCAAATATAGTACCTATAAACCTACTTATTTTACACTGTAGGTATTTGGTTTATTTTCATTGATAAAGAATTGCTTTTGCCTTGAACTGTAAGCTGTAGGTCACCTACTTAGAAATGATGATTCTGAACCCATGTCTATGGCTAATATACTAGATGCGGATATGTTATGCATTATAAGTACTTTTGATTATATTAAACTACTAACGTGTTTATCGCGTTGGATCGGGATAATATGGGAAAACATTTGGTGTATAGACAAACCAATAAATTGAACTCCTACATCAACGGGGAACAAAGATTTTACCTATAACACGTATTCAGATATTCGGTTGCATAAAAAATAAAGTTCTTTTTTTTCATTAAAGTATAAAATCTCTTTGGTTCTTTCCATAACGAAATTTGTAGGTATTCTTGAAATATGAACAACAAAAACTGATCCAATAAAATTATCTGTTCTCTGTCTCTCAGTAATAAGTTATTAACAGACATTGTCTATTCCAGATGAATCAAGCCACTCACTTCCTCGATGGCTCCCACATCTACGGTTCGAACAGCCGCGACGCTGCAGCCTTGCGGGAAAAGACCGGCGGTCTACTGAAGACTTCGTCTTTCGAAGACGAAGAACTATTGCCTCTGTCTACTAATCCGACTGAGAAATGTCTCGTCGGAAGCAGCTCAGAGACATGCTTTAATGCCGGTATGGAAATTATGTTTATATAGGTTTATTTAAGTACCTAGTGTAAAATAAAGGTATTTTTATTAAATTGGAAAACCGGTGTCCATGAATTCAATATTGCCTGCAGTTGAATTCAAATTTACTCCAAATGAATTGTGGTTTTTTTTATTGTTTTTCGAAAAAAATGTTGTATTACCCTGCCCGATTTTGTATTACGTTTACATTATCATCTTCTTCGCCTTTCATGTCGTTTTTACTTAACTAATGATGACTAGCTTGTCTATTTACTTTAACCAAAGTTCCCGTAGAAACGTCATGGTTTCACGTTTTTTAAGTACCTATGTTGTTTATGACTTTAACCAGGCATTATTTATCTTCTACGTAAGCTGATAATAATAATATTATTCTGATAAGGAGTGATCGAACCTGATAAAAAGATTAAATAGTATTATGTTGTCATAAAGTATATTTCTATGATTAGATAACAATAGATGCTATCTACCTACTCAAAGAATCAGACAAACATCATAACCATTTAACTATCCACTTTTACTTTATTGTTAATGTTTTTTTTGGTTCTTTCAAGTTACATTAACATCATCAATAAACTTGTTTAGTACTATGTCGGTTCCTGGCTGTATAATTTCTTTTCCAGAATTTAGAATTTTTCATTCGTGAGTAAATATTATCTCGCCTTTATTTACAATCTTAATCTAATGTGTCAATCACGCCGTCGATACGGATTACCTACAGAACTTAATATTTTTTCTGAATCATGAATATTTTTAAGAGTTTAATCATCTTTAGTTTCGATTACTTAGGGACTTTTTTTCTTTACTTATTATAGGCGATGTCCGCGCTAACATGCATCCCTGGTTGACCGGCCTTCATGCTTTATGGGTTAGAGAACACAACCGTATAGCGAGGCTATTGGCAACCCTCAATCCTGGCTGGAATTCTGACAAACTGTACCATGAAGCTAGGAGGGTGGTTGTTGCTGAACTTCAACATATCACTTACAAGCAGTGGTTGCCGGCTCTTACAGGTTCGTATTTATTATCAAAAAGTTAATCATTCGGTAAAAAAGTAACAACTGACATTAATAGCAACACTACCTATATTTACGTTGGTACTCACGACATTTTCTGACATCACAAACAATTTCATTATTCTTTCATACGTCTTGAGAATTCATTTTTATTGTGATTTTCTTATTTATTTTTGTCATGTACTAAGTATTTTTTAAAAGAATTTTATGGAAAAAGTAGGCTAGCTTCACCTTGCTTGAAGTAAACTTATTCTTGCTTACTTTGGAATTAAATCAAAATGTATTTTATATTTTATGATGATTATCCCATTTATACATATAAATCTATTAAAGATATCCTTTTTCAACAGGTAAAGGTTTCGACGAAATGTACGAATCCTACGATGCCGGTTACAACTCTGACATCGACCCCACGATCACCAATTCTTTTGCGACAGCAGCTTTCCACTTCGTGAACAGCCTCCTAGACCAAGATATCGAGTTTGGGGATAACACTACACGACTTATGGACAGCTATTTCAAGCCCGAGATACTGGCTAGGAAAGGTGCTTTGCAGAAAATCATGAGGGGAATGGTCACACAGAAAAGTCAAAGGCTCGACTTCAACTATGATGACGATGTAAGTATATCAAAAGAAATAGTTTTATATATGTATATTCAAAGTAAATAGTTTTTTTAGTTTTAAATAGTTTAATAACTGTTGCACTCAGAGAAGTCAATTATGATTTAGGTTTGACAGTTGAAGCTGTCCCTTTTTTGCTATAACAATAAAATGAGACAACACGTAACTTAATGAAACATTAAATTAGTTTGGCGTTCTTGAGTGCGGCTGTAGTGTTTTTTTTTTAGGAATCATGCAATTTAGTATTTTCGTTGCGACCGTAATTCAACAAAATTTACAGGCAATGTTTATTATTAAGGTACTTCTACTTATGCAATAATCTCTTAGAAATGTTATCAGACGAAATTTTGAGTTATAATACCATACCTACTTTATATTATAATGCTTTATTTCCTTGTTAAAAATACTGATAAAATTAATATTCAGTAACTTTGTGATTGTTATCATAAAATATAGAAGGATACGGATGAATAAAATTTGCAAAAATAAACTTTATATTTAGACAACGAGTAAACATGTTTACCAAATTTATTAAATATGTTACATATTGTCATGCGGCAAAAATAATTTGCTATGATGATTCCGCGATATGGTTGATTGATCTTGGGTGTGTTGTTTACTGTTGAAAACACTTTCATACTTAAATAACGCATATCCGTTGTCCTTCAAATCGTGAAAGGTGAACAACAACTCAATAGAAGAAAATAGCTTTATTATGTGAATTTGAAGATATTTTGTATATTACTACGAAATAATACACAGTTACTTATTTCATCAGAAAATTTAAGAACTTTTCTTTGTGTGATGTTACATGAAGTTTAAAATTAATTTATTTAAACTTCATGCAATCTCTGTCCTCTTGTTTTGTGCATCTATCTCTATAGCTAAATAGAAATGAATTATTGACCAAATGTATGTAATTGCGCGTATAACTTGCGAACGTCTGTATCAAATTGAATAAATATTTTCTGGTTGTGTCAGTTTTCGTCATGATATGATTTCTACATAAGAAAGATTTTTTTGGATAACACTAAAACCATCACAAAAAAAAAATCTTATTAGTTTATTGCACCCGGACGGAGCCGGGCGAGTGGTTTACAACATAATATCATATATACTGTTCTTTTTGTCTGGCAGCTCCGTCAGTACTGGCTGGGCAGTCTGGACGTATTGGCAGTGGACATACAACGAGGTCGCGACCACGGTCTGCCTGGATACTCGCAGTATCGCGCGCTGTGCGGTCTGTCGCACGCTACCACGTTCCAGCACTTTTCTGATGTGATGCCGCAGGAGGTGAGATAATCTTTTTATTATATTACTAGCGGGCGCCCGCGACTTCGTACGCGTGGAGTTATAAATAAAGGTTCACTGCTCGTTCCACGTAGGTGATAGCGTGATCATATGTAGCCTATATGTTGACTCGACTTCTTAATAATATTCGTGCCAAAGGACAATGTTAAAATTGGCCTAAGAACCAACACCAATTTGGCATTCATGATAATTCTTAGTATATTTTTTGCGATAATTATCAGTATTTAGATTGTGACGGACACTTCCAGTTAAGTAAGCTAAATTAAAAAGTTGAAAAATAATCTGAGACAATAAATACCATTTTATGTGTATAATCTATGGCAGCGCTGCAAACAAAACACTTTTTCTTCCTAATGTCGGCACTTCACTTGGTTATTCGTATTTGCTATTTTAAAACATGACATCAGTCTGTCCTTTTCATTCCTTACTAAGCATGACAAGGACAAACTGTTGTCAAGAGAAGGGCCGGCATAAAATTCTTTACTCTGTGGTTGTGGTGCATGCAGTTTTCATTTGTAGTAATCTGTGGCATTCGTGCATTCCAAAGAGTAGTACTTTGGTATACTTACTTTACTCTTTGGAGTAGTATATAATATACCGGAAAGTGCATTCTCTTTTCGGATTACCTGTTGTGTGTGTTTATTTGCTATTGTTTTTCCTTTAATTTAACTATATCGGCTATCTAATATGCCATCGATATTACCAAAGAGCAGAGCCCTTATTACCAAGTGCTAGTGAACCTGTGCCACATCCTGAGAGGATCTAATCAATAATAATAGCCAAATTATTCAAGAACACCTGATAGACATTCACACTGCATATTTACACAATATAATGTGATATACAAATAAATACAATAAACAATATGATACAACTATGTGAAAAATAGTCAGTAAATAAGAAGCAAAACTACAGTTTTTATTTTATTCATGATTCTTACCTAACCAAGTTTTTCCTAATAGTTATACTTTAAAATCGCACCGAATAAAATGAATTAACTAGGTGTAATATTAATTCACTTCATACTGAGTTAATACTAAATTCATAAGTTGACCTATGTTTCATTGAATATTAAACATAACCTCAAAAAAATTTTAGTTTTCCTAATAATTTAAGTTCTCAGAAGTGTCCGTCAATAATCTTTGTTTTTACAGTCATTTACTTACGATTTTGAACCTAGAAAATAATATTTCATGATTGTTGGTTCTTAGGCTAACTATGTATGGACGCTGAGCAATGTCCTTTGAAGTAAATCCATGCAGTTCTTTTTGAGTTTATCCCGGACATGCATACAGACAAACAGACAGACAGACAAAAATTCTAAAAACGATATTTTTGGCTTCGGTGTTGATTGTAAATCACAGTCCAAGTGTTCTTTTTAAAAAATATTCAATGTACAGTTTTGACTTTGCTACCATTTTATTATATGTATAGATTAGATTGGTATTTTAGTCGGGCAGTTGTGTTAATACTGGTTAGGAAGTCTGGACTGGCACAAATGAGGGGTATCAAAACACGAATGTGGGTTTATCACACGTGGCGAAGCCGAATGTGATAATAGTATCACGTGAGTGTTTTAATACCTAATTATAAACAGTTGCATACAAGACTTTATCTGCACCCTTGATATGAATCCTTTATAAAAGGTTATGAAACCTTTGGGCTTTCTAAGAACTCAAAATACCTACATGAAAAGTTTCGAAGATGTGGTAGTGAAACGCGCGTCAATAAAAATGATCTTTTTTTATTTTAAATCATTTCATTCATACCACGTATCGAGCAGTAAAAATTGTATCGGTCTGATGAGCAAGCCCTTGGCGCGGAAGGGTTTAAAAAGTGAAAGAGTATTATTATGAAACTTAGTACAACATTTTAAAAACCTTTTTTAATTATGACATTGTATATTTTAATGTACTCGAGGAGCTTAGCTTAGCGCGTTCGGCTGCGATCGTTGAAGTAAAGCAACTTTCGCAGTGGTCGGTCATTGGATGGGTGACCAAAAATCTTCCATCTCGAGTTCCTCCGTGCTTCGGAAGGCACGTTAAGCCGTTGGTCCCGGCTGCATCTGCAGTCGTTAGCACCCGCCAATCCGCACTGGGCCCGCGTGGTGGGTCATGGCCCAAACTCCCTATTCCATCCATAGGGAAGGCCCGTGCCCCAGCAGTGGAGACATTAATAGGCTCATGATGATGAAATTTTAATGTTGGCAGTAAGCTAACTGTTTTATTTCTAAAGAATATTTTGGTAGAAAAATAAACATAACGGGTTTTTCAACAAGAACTTTGTTTTTCAATTGTGGCTGCACCAACAATTTGTTCTGTATTCTGAGCCAACAATATGATAGTTTAGACATTTAGTTTTTTGACGTATTCGTAGAAGATGATTTGGCAATTGTTACAATGAATTCAATTTCGCTTGAAAATCGATTTAAAATAATTAAAATCCACTATGAAAATAGTGGTTCTGTTACAGTTACATTTTGTCAAATTCGTGATATTTTCGGACAACATAATCGTCCTTCTAAGACCGCTATTAACAATTTATTCGTTTTAAAATTGAGTCGACAGGCTCGATACAAAATGTGCCAACTCCAACGCGTGTTCGACCGGGTCGTTCAACTGAAAGCATCGCAGCCGTGAGCCACAGTGTTGAAGCAGATCTAAATTTGTCAATTCCGCGACGTTCTCAACAATTGGGGTTATCCAAAACCACCACATGGCGAATTTTGGCCTATTATTAATGACGTGGATATCACTGATATGTGGTTTCAACAGGACGGCGCCACATGTTACACAGCCAATGAAACGATCAATTTATTGCAAACCAAATTTCCCGATCGCATAATTTCACTAAACTCAGCTGTTAAGTGGCCAGCCAGATCATGTGATTTAACACCACTAGATTATTTTTTGTGGGGCTATGAACTATGTTAAGGACAGAGTCTATACGGGGCCAATTGAACCGATTGCAGTCTTAAAACTCAAAATCCGTGATGTGATTAACGACATAGTCCCATTTTGCCAAACAGAGATTAAAAACTTTGATGAAAGAATCGACATCTGTCAGCGTGCTCGTGGTGGACATTTGCCAGATATAATTTTTCATTCATAATTGCCGAACTTTTCTCTTTGTAATTCAATAAAAAATTTATTCATCTTCATCTAAATTTTTTGTTTTATTTTGTTTTATAAAACAAAGTTCTTGTTGAAAAACCCTATATAACTATCATAAGCTTTCTGTTTCAGAATCTTTTATAGAGGTTTTAAAGCATAGGTATAGATAAAATAATAAAATATAATATTTAATATTATCTTCCACAGATGGTTGACAAGTTGGCCGAGTTGTACGACCAACCGGGTGACGTGGACTTGGTCGTCGGCTTGATGGCGGAGGGGCCTCTACAAGGCTCGTTATTGGGACCAACGGCTACTTGCTTCCTTAGTAAGTGCTGTGATTGGTTTTCATTATTCTCAGCCTATTAGTGAGGTGAGGCATATGCCTTCCCTATTGGTGGAATAGAAGGATTGGACCATGACATTCCAATGGATTAACGTGCTTTACGAATCAGGAAGGTGCTCAAGCTATAGATAGCGATTTTTGGGTTCCCGTCCTATGAATAGAAATTAATAAAATGGATATAATTTACTCATTTTTAATTATACTACATATTTAACCTAATTACTGTACACTAAAGTTAGCGTTGTTACCTTTGTTGTGAAAATATAGCATGATGATACATGATTTGATGAAGAATTGAATTTCCTAATTGACGTGTCCAAGTACTCTGAGAGATGGCAAACCAAATATTTAAAAACATAAGTAGTTACATACCACAATAAATAAATAAATAAATATTTCCAATACTCACCAATTAGCCTAGCCCCAAAGTAAGCACTATAAGGCTTGTGTTATGGGATACTAGTGTAACGCATAGAATACATATACTGTACATATATAAGTGTATTTATATAGAAATACATATTAAACATCCATGACTGGAGTACAAATGCTCGTATTCATCACACTAACATCTGCCCCCACCGGGATTCCGACCCGGGACCTCTCGAGTCGGCGACACCATGAACCATGATCGTCGTACTATATAGGGAACTAAACAATTTTCCTTATTGTTCTTATAGAGGAACAACTGTGGCGTACTAAATCCGGCGACCGTTATTTCTATTCGCACACCGATGAAGCGGGCAGCTTCACTAAACGCCAACTAGCCGAGATACGGCGAGCGTCACTCGCGCGACTCATCTGCGACAACACTGGAGCCGTCACCATTCAGAAGGACGTCTTCCAACCTCCTTCGCAAAGGTAGGCCATTTGTTTTGTCAATCCATAAAGCTTTAATTATTTATACCATAGAGGTATAAGAATAGAGTAGGGGAGATATAGACTCTACTACAAGTGGAAATGTCCCTCTAATAGAAAGAGGAAGAAGATAGCTTTCTCTCTCATCACGTATGCGCATTGGCAACCGTAAGCATCTTACTATTTCGATGTGATGCCATTGGATGCCATGCGTCACAAGAGAGAGAGATTGCTAGCGGTGTCTTATCTTCTTTCTCTTTCTACTAGACGGATACTTTTAGAGCCGCCTTCCCCACTCTATTCTTATACCTGTATGATTTATACGCCTAGATAGAGCAATCCAAATAAATACAGCAAAGAAAATGGCTCATACGTGTGTGACTCTAATGTCAGATTGTACTTGCTAAAGCAGTCAACGTGTAAGTGTGTAGTGACGAGCATATCCACCTTATGTAGTAAATATTTTTTGTACCACTTCCGTGCAGTTAATGCGGTATCTAGGGTGTAATATATTACACATATATACATTACACATTATTACACATATATATGTATACATAATCAAAGTCGTAAAGGTCCAATTTAAAGCCGATATTTTTTAGGTTAAAGTTGCACTAGAGCGGAGTTTCTTAAACTCTATACAGTCACGGTATCAAATATAAAAAAAAGTTTTAGAAATAGAAAATGAATCGTATATAAAAATAAACGGTGGTCTGATTACACTCACTTGCAAATTCTTAATTGCAATTAAAAAAAAACTAGTAAACTTTTCTTTAGATGAAATTGAATTGTTTAGTGGGCTACTGATATACATGCTATAGAGTATAGTCCTAAAAAAATCGTGAACACTAATTTTAGAAACTTTAGGCTACAGAAATCCTATTTTTAACATCAAATTGAAGATAATGTTCTTTTTCTCATGAATTTTATTTGTTGCAGTAATCCGACTTTGTACTGCGAAGAAATCAAGAAAGTCAATCTAGAAGCGTGGCAAGACCCGTCTCAACAGCCTGACATTTTAACTCGCACCAACAAATGGATCAAAACTAAAGTGGCCAATACTGACAACTCAACAAAATAGTCATACAGTGTATATCTTATCAGTGTAGGTCTTAATTATAAAAAAACGAGTTATTTATTTCTGTGTAATTTGTATGAAATCTGCACTGCAAGTAGTAAGTATATGATCAACGCCCTAGTGTATTTTATTATAAAATTACAGTTAATTTTTCGTATAATATTTTTAAGAGTAAATTTGTTTTTATTAATCTTGCATTGCGGATGTATTCGAGTGATTCAGTATTGAGGATCGTGTGTAGAGTGTTAAGTTAAAGTTTAATGTTGATATTCCCCTAATATGGGAAACTAATCGATTAAGTTAATTTACTTTGTTCACAAACATTTTGAGCTACGTGGCAGTTTTAGCTGTTTGGTATTGAGCGCAATATTTAATTTTTTTCAGTTATGAATAAGTTTCATGTACCAAAAAGGCATTTTGTTGCGGTGTACTTACACTTACTTACTTGACATTTAAATCAAACATTGTCAACTATTTTAGTATAAATTATGTTTGTGTCAAGACAAATTAAAATCGTAGTCTCAATTGAAAAGGATATTGTGCTCAATGCCATAACCACAACCAAAAGATCTAAGGATTTTTTATTAAGCGTATTGTATCTCTACCGATTTGCAACTTAGTCTTGGGAGATCTAGTACATGTTTGTGGGCAAATGTTATACCTAATTATAAGCAAGTACCATGTCGTACAGTGGCTGTGATAGCGCGTGCTTTGCCCTATTAAGGCTCAGATTCATATGTTAAAAGATCTGGAGCCCTTTACTGTCTTATTGGGAGATCATAACCACATTTGGAGAAAGTGGAACGGAAAGTAGAACAAAATCAAAGTGTGCAAAGTGTTATAAAGTAGAAAGTCGAGAAGTATTTGATTGTAAAATTAAATTTCGCAGACGTTTCATAGTGCAGAGTAACAATGTTCTTATGATTAATTTTAATTAAATACAAATGTAATACAGAAGAAATAAGAAGTATCTTAAAATTCATACAAAAATTCGTAATATTTTTAATTCATTATTTGGACTTGCCAACTTACATAAAACAAATTGATTTGATGAATCGTATTGTATGATAATTATACTTATTTAAGTAGATAATTGTATCGTTTATAAATCCAGTGTTAAACCGAAAAACTTTTAATTTTTTCTCCAGGGTCAAAACCTAGTTGGGAACTGGCGTTATAGTAAAAATTTCATTTCATGAAAGGGTTATGCTTATAAATTACAGGATTGGACAATACGATTCGATAAGAGGGTTGTGTTTGAAATGAATTGGTTGTTAAATAGCTGTATCTTGTTTATTAACAAATTATATTGCACTATATGTAATTCTAAGGTTTTTTGCAACTTATATAGCTAGTTACTTAATCTGTTAAATGTTTTGATTTCTTGGAAGTATCGTATTACTTATTTATGTATAATATAATTTTATTTTCTATAATTTATGTTTTCTATTATCTTTTTATAAAAAATTGTATTAATTGTTTGACTACAAAATCTTTGATTCGATTGTAAAGATATTTTTAATACTAAAAGAACTAATGCCTTATTTACTCTACGGCGTTAGGTGAAAAAAAACTTGAAAATGGCAGACGTTTTTAACGTGTGCCAATAATGCCAAAGACTGGAATACAACTAATAGATTTTATTGACAAATTGTTTCGGTTACTTCAAAATTCACGATTAAATAAAGTAGTTATTTATTTACAAATAAAAATTTATTGTAGTACCTATAATAAAATTTAAGCATGTCATCAAGAAAGCAACCAAGTGAATATAAAGTCTCCGGAAACGGAGAACGATATAGGTATCTAAAGTATTTGACGTAAATAATTAATTGCAAAGGTAGAGTCAAAGCTTTGATAATAGTTACACTTTTACTACGATTTTGTCCCTTATATCAATGTAATAAAGCTGTTAGTGTAATATTGTAACCATTAATGAGCCCTTGACCTGATAGTTTAAATAAATTGATTTCGTGAATTTGAAGAAACTGTTTCACTACTAAAGAAGACTCATAACTAAATAAGAAATTCTTAAAATAAGTGTTCAATGAAGTTGTACCTTATGAAAGCATTTTTGGCCTCTAATTGGCAGATGATGTATCATTCCTACGGATTATACTTAATTTCTTTATAAAACTTTTGTAAAAATAAAACAATATATTTTTTTTCACAAAACTATACCATTATTTTCTTTTCTATTTAAAAAATATTTTACAGAGGTGCATTATTTCAATTCTATACCTTAAGTGCATACTTCAATTACCTTAATTTTAAAATACAAAAGGTATTATTGGTCGTAAATATATAATTATTAATCTCAAAGATTTTGTAATAAAATTACAAATTCCTTTGCCTTCTATGATAATTATTAAAAATACGTAATTTATGTTTTCAATCAATCTTTTAAAAGTTTTGTTACAATGCGTATTTAGTAAGACTAAAAAATACCTTGAAGAAAGATACAATGAGAACTCATAAAGTTACTTAATATTAATTTTCTATACCACCTTTTTACGGCCAAAATTGCTTTCCTAAATAAAACATTAGCTATGCTTTATTTAGGAGAACCAATTTCTTGAAAATATCAGTCATTTAAAATTGTGAATATAGTGCGTAGGAGGACGGTACCTACATATAACAATTTATTGAGCGGCAATTGGTATCTAGAAGGGTTTTTTGCATTTCCTAATGAAAGTTGTAATGTTTCCTAATGTAATACGTGCTGAAGTAATACCATTAACTCTTTTATTGCTACTCAATTCTGATAGTCAAAGTAAGGGCTTTTAATCTGATCGCTGTTCTTGGACTCCAATAGAGAGGTGATGGTATGGCTCCTGTCATCGAAACTGATAATAAGTGTTTGGTACACGATAAGCATGATATCAGTAGTGAGTCACAAAATAGGGATAGGATATCGTACTTATTTTTTTTCTAAATTACCTATTTTTATTTTTTGCTAATAAATCGAGTTCATTTCAAATAACACGTTTTAGACGTTTTATTTGTTTGTGAAAGCTTGATCGTAATGAGGGATGCCTTTATTAGATTCTAACCTTTATTCGCCATAAACTCAGGTCAGCACCTTGCTCGTATTCAATTCGACAAATTAATGGTGGTTCGTGCTTCTGTGAAACTTGACTGCATTTTCTATATCTTACTCAATTGCTTTCCTATGTGGACTCTTTTTTGTATAGATTTCATAAAAAAGTTTATAGTGTCATGTCTTCAATGACTGACTCATAAAAACTATATATAAAGAAAATATAACTAGAAAAAATTCCACGCGGACCAGGCGGCAGACGGACGGTACGGACAGACGCTCTTTAGATTTAAACATCAAGCAGTTACATGCTTTAAAATAATAAAAATTATAAAAACTATATATGTCCGAATTAATTTTATATTAACCTAAAGATAACTATCTATACGTTAATATACAGTCCGTACAACTGGATAGTAAGTACAATCCAGACTTATATTGCAAATACGAAACTATGTCTATTTTATTGTTACCTCTGAACTACTCAATTAATTTTGAAATATTTTGATACAATATAAAGAAAAGTCAAAAGAAAAGGACAAAAAATAATGTTGTAATATAATGTATCATGTTAATGTGAAAATAATAATTGGGCTTGAGACTCCTAGCCCTCCTCTCTCCCTCTGGATTTCCCACTGCAGATTTCCAAAAAATCTAATAGTGCTTTTTTATGTTAAAAGGGGGGTAAGTGTCGCCGCACACGGGCCAACGACAACAACCACAAAACACCGCCACCTGCATATTACTTGTACTTTTCATACATTTTATATGGACTCACCACATACGGTACGCCGGTGGCCGCCACACGCTACCAATCGTCGTTGCTCGCTTCTTGTGGCCCGCACCGGCCACTTAATGCGCTGATACAAAATGCTGTCACACGTCACTCGCGCGATTCCCCACCCCTCTCTCCTTAGTCGGCCGCTGTCGCACGCTTCAGCCACTTTAGTAGCCGCTTCTAGCTTCTCGTGGCGGCGTTTGTGGCTGTGGTGTGGCCCGTGTGCGGCGACACTAAGTCCACCTGATGGTAAGCTAAGCGGCCACGATAGCCCATAGACGCTTGCGATGCAAAAAATGTCACACGCTTCGATGCCTACCCTGACCCAATCCCCTACCCCGTGGAGCCCTGGAACCTTACTCACCGACAGAAACACAACACTAACAACAGCTATTTTACTGTAGTCTTCTGTAAGGTGGAGGTTGTACTACTATTACTGTAATGCCGGATCAGCTATCTTCGCGTCTGGGCTGCACCACCTAGTTATTAAAAAAAAGGTAAATACCTCAGGCGGGCGCTCCTATTTGAGCGGAAATCCGCTATGCTCTACTTCTAAACAAAGGGTTCTAGGTAATGTTGTAATAAAATATTTGTAGAGTTACGCAAACGACTGTTAAATAGACCATACAACCTACATAGTATGTGAGTAAGTACAATTTAACGGTACGATTCGCTCGTTAAATAAAAAGCTTACGATTGCTTTACTTGTAAACAATTAAGGGAATGGATTCTTCGAAACATTAACAACATTGGTAAGCGAAATACGTTATAATTCCTGTGTTAAGTAATAACTAAAACACACCATGAACTCTCCAGTCTCTAGACAAATGATAGGAGTTACCTAAACCTAACGAATCCGAACTGGATGGCAACGGTACAAACTTTTGAATGCAGTAAGTTAACATAATTGCACCGAAACGGCCAACTGTTTGTGCAGTATAACAATATTTATCAAGGAATTGAATCACCTATGTATTCATTCGAGTTTCGACGTCCATAAAGAGAGGGGAATGAGTGGTCTAGGGACTTTGGTTGCTTTACATTTATGAACGTCAAGATGACGGGACCCCGTCAGGTTTTTCAAATATAATGTGATCACTATTTTATATTTTCAATCAGAAAAATACTGCACTGAAAAAAATTTAAAACATTCAACTAAGAAAGTGGTTCCGCTAATAGGGTATTTGACTAGTTTTAGAAAACGATCTCACGTTATTGACTAATGTTTATGGAGTCCGTAAAAAGGATATTCATCAGAATGATGGTTGTGTACTTCAGTAAAAATAACCAAATCAAAATCTCCATTTTCAAGGTGCTGCGAAAACGTTTCTCTGGACAATATGCCGTCTTACGACTGATATTAAAACGTCAAACGATACAATGTAATGTCGCTTTAAACGGAAGTTTACTTGCGTGTGACGTCATTTTAGGCTCCGCCAATCCCAAGCGTTTTGACGTCACGTGACAATAGATAAGAAAACTATTATCTTTTACGTTAGTTTTTAGTAAAATTATGAATATTTTTTATGTGAAAATAGTAAAAATCCCTGCCAATATTCATTCTAAACACAGATGCTAACAAATGGCACTTTATTTTTAACACTGTCAAATACCCTATTTGATATCAAAATGACGGGACAACTAGTTAATTCAGGAAAAAGATACAGCGTAATCTTAAAGTAAACACACTTATTTTAATGCGATTTATTGCCAGACTACATTCCGTTCATGACTATACTCGTACTTCTAAAACTGTTATTTCAATACAAAAAAGGTATTATATTACAGTAGGATGCGCCTGAAGAAAAAGTATAATTTTAAGCCAAGTATCACTGTATTGCTCTTACAGTTTTGTATTGAAATTACAGTTTTAGAAGTATAGTAATGAATCGAACGTCATCGCATTAAAATTTGGTGTGTTCAGTTTAAGATTACGCTGTGTTTTTCATTAATTAACAAAATAGCGGGACCACTTTCTTCAATCGAATATTTTGAAATTTTTTGAATGCAGATTTTTTTCTATGAAAGTATAAAATAGCAGTAATTCTGCATTAGATCCTAATCACATTATACTTGAAAAGAACTCGCGCGGTCTTGTCATGTTGGCGTTCATTTACATTTGGCTACATTCTTTATATATAGGGGAGATTTGAAGAGATGATAAATTTGACAATATACCTACCTAAATTATTTAAGGCTGGTTTCAATAATGAAACTTCAGTAAGAGATACTCCTCCTTGAATTGCATTCCTCATTACTGAGGGTCGTGACCTCCCTTCTGCATCACTTTCTTCCGTATGATAGTCTTCCATCTGTTCCTGTCTTTGGCGGTGTGGAGGGCGTTGTGGATTGTCGAGTCTAGCGGTGCGAATCGGATCAGACCAACGTATTGGGCTGCGTCCACGCGGTCTTTTCGCTCACGCATTTGATTGATCCGGGTCCTTATCACTGGATTGAGCTCCATAATCCACAAATTAATTCGACAGAACGCCACTACATACCAAGATTGGCCAGGGAAGCGATTGAAATTACCAAACACAAGAATTTCAATCGTGAGGATGGGTTTAAATTGT